AGGTATAACACAAATCACTACTGCTACCACCAATGATAATAGTGATAAAGGAAATAACAAGGGAAGAGAATACAACACCTCAGCACCAGGCAACCGATAACTCGCCCCCCTAGCCCGACCAAGCACCAACCGATACCTTCTCCAAGCCCGCAGTCTCCTAGCCCTTCTGGGTAATTCTCAGTTACCTCCTGGGCATGACGTGCTGTGGTATGGAATACCTCTTTGGTCAGTTTGGGTCAGGTGTCCTGTCTCTGCTTCCTCCCGGCTTCCCTCCTCCCTGGCAGAGCATGAGGCTCACAAAGTCCTTGGCCAAACCAAAACATCATTTTTATCAGCTCTTTTCCCAGCTGAAAGTCAAAACACAGCACTGCACCAGCTACCAAGAAAGAGAAAAATGACTGCTACTGCCAAACCCAGGACAATCTTAAAAGTCTTTTCCAACCTAGCTGATTCCGTGATTCCTCATTCCTAGTCCTTTGCCTCTGTGAGCAGATGTGCAATGGTGCAAGGCGAGCAGGCAGTAGAGCAGCAGCTGGGGTAACACACAGCGTTTCACGGGTGCTGTTTTCCACCTCAGACCCACTATTTGTATTCTGCCCTTGTGCTTATAAAGGCTGAGCCTCACCTGGGTCACAGAAGATAGAAGTTACCTTGGAAACACAGCCAGCTCTTGATGGTTTCTAGACAGATTCCTCCAGGCTGTGAGCTTTGTGCACACCAGCTGCCAGCCCATCTCCTATTCCTGAAGTTCCATTGTGCCTCTGAAACCATCACCTTTGACTTACCACCTCCAGGTGCTCTGGGGCAAACCCCAGGCAGTAGAAAGGATCATTAGTTTTCCATGGCCTCAGTGTATAAATGCTCTCCAGGCCTTCTGCATTTTAGCATGGTCAGATCAACCTGTGGATGGTGGAGTGGACCCAGTCCAGTGCAGTGCCTGTCCCTGAGTGCAGGTGAGATGCGGACAGCCTGCCCTCTGCTGCTGCAGGCTGTGGGAAGGGACCGGCTTGTTCTCCCATAGCTTAGCATGTGGTCACACTAAATGTGACTCATCTGAGCCACGATGGGGAGAGCTGCAGGGGCTCTTCCAGGGCTCACACAACTTCAGACACGGCAAGAAGTATTTGTTGATGTACAGCAAGTGTTGTGTAGCAGCTCAGGCACTGGCAATCATGGGGAGCAAGGCTCCTCAAAAGAAACAGACAAGAACGGACAGAGAGAAGATGTAATTTGCTCTGAGGCTGGGCAGTTGTCTAACTCATGGTCAGGTGTTAGCACAGGTGGTTACAACCTTTTGAAGTGAAGGAAGTGATTTAAACGTTAAATAGCTGAGAACCTGGGCTAGATACCTTTTAATTTTTTTCTCCCTCTGAAGTCTGCCTATGAGACTTGCTTTTGAATATTTATGTTTAAATTGCTTATTTGGAAGAAGTCACAGCTGCAGCTGTGACTGCTGAAGTGACAGCCTGTGCTGCTGTCTCCTAGAGACCTGCAGCTCCCACTCCATGAGGGTGGCTTTTAAAATAAGGCTTGATTTGCCATGCAGATGCAAAACGTGTATAATTTCAATGAGCAACGAGATTTGTTACTGGTTTAAAGACCAGGGTAAGAAAACAGATGATTGGAACAAGGAACAAAGGTGGGATGTTAGAGAATGGGACTTTTGCTTATTGCCATGATGGCCACTGTGAAGTGGCTGCTCTGAAAAGAAAATCTCTGTGTTTATGTCATGACTGAAAACAACAGAAATGCCACATGTAGGGGATTTATAGTTGAGGGTCACAGCTTCTCATTCAGCTGCCAGAGCTGGAAGCATCAGGAAGATGCGCTTCAGAGGCGTACAACGGCGCCCCCCACTAGCACTCGGCACTGACTTCAGCTAACAAGACACCGCCTTCATTAGTGAGCACGAGAGAAAAACCCAGAGCTGGTGTCTGGAAGACATCACATAACATTAGGATTCTTTTTCCCCAGCATATAAACTGCTGCACACTCTTCATGAGGTCAGAAAATCACACGCATGAATTTGAGAATTGGGAAATCGCACAATTAGAAACTACATGTACTGTAAACAGGTGAGGCAGCTGAGAGATGCACATACAGGTCTCTCACATTCTGATGTTTAATGCTAAATTAGTCTTAAATCAGCGTAAAATTTATAGTTGGAAAGAAATAACAAAGTTTACATTTCAGAAACTAAACAAGCCCTCAAAAGCACAAGCTGCCCTGGACTCCTCGAGTATTTTGAAGCTGCTTTTATGCAGAAAACCTCCGTTCCTCCTGGAGAGAAACATCTCAGTGTTTCACCTCAATGTTTCTTTCGAGAAGGCTATTTTGACAATGCCCCTTTCATGCTATCAACATCACACTACCAAAGCCCTAAATAAAATGCATTTCTCTTGCTGTTTATTATTTGATAAACACTTCATCCAGGAAAGCCAGCACACAGAGCACATCCACTGCCTGCAACAGCGGAAGCAAAGAGTAACTCTCCGTAAATACGTGTTTAAAAGAGAACAGCAGAGATTTTCCTCAGGTGACAGCATTGCAATACCATATGCCAACAAAATTTTCCAGCTCAAACATCATGGTAGCTCAGTATTTTGTCCTGAAGATACATACAAACAAATCAGTAAGTTCTCTTCATACATTTTTATTGCTTTTAATTGTTCCTTTGTAAAAGCAGATTCAACAGGGTTACATTTTTGTTATTAGCATAGAATACTCCTTAAAAATAAACACCCAGTTTATCATACACCTATCATGAAAGCCTTTTTATTGAATTCACTATGAATTCCACACATATTTAACATTTCAGAAGGAAGGGACCATAACTCTTGAGCAGAAATTTTTACCATCAGTATTAACAGAGGACGTCTGTACCAGCACAAAACAAAGGAAGTGCTTTAAAATCTAGGCTGATGGGCTTCTCGCATGCAGGAATACCTCCCTGAGGAAACAGCTTCCGGATATGCACGGAGTCAATACACTGTGACACAGGCTGGCAGCGCAGCATAGCAATAGAATCCATTAAATCTGCACTGGGAGCCAGTTACCAGCAATGCTACATAGTAATTACGGGGAGGAATTTCTCTGAGGTAAATTCTGGTTTTTCAAATGAGATTCTGAAGAATCACCCACTAACGTTTCTGCAGAAACGCTTTACAGCTTGTCCAAATTGTAGAGGACAACCCATCTTTTCCCACAAAAGCTTACAGAGCTTGTAGTTTACTGAGTTATTGCTTGTTCTAATGACTGTTGGAGGTAACAGTTTGGTGTCAGTAAGAAGATTAGTTTATGTATTAATGCAATTCAAAAGTTCACTCAATTTACACAACATAATGAAAAGCTGAATCTGAACTCTCAAGAACTCCATCTTCCCCCCCATCTCAAGTTCGTAACAGGGATTTCATTTGAGGCTGCTTCAGAGTGGAGAAAAAAGGATGAAGCAGATGAGAGAAAATACATTGCCAGCTCACATCAAGGCCTCACTAATTAGAACCACACGTCCCACATGGAGGTGTAACCTACTGCCACACAGCTGTCTGCAATCCTGTTACTACAGCTCCCCTCTCCAGCAACACCACAGAGCCTCCACTCCATCACATCCTTGGAGGGGGCAGGAGACCATGATGGGGTCAGGAAGGGTAGAAAGCAGACAGCAGGGATGCAGCTGGAGGGCAAGGCCTGGCCATATGCCACATGACCAGTCCTCAGTCTGGAGGGGGAGAGACTAAAGAACAAAAATGGAAACACAGCATGTAACAGCAACAAAATCTTAATACAAACAGCCCTCATTCCTGCTGCAGACTTGTCTGAATGAGGGATGCACAATGTCTGAACTGCACGAACTGCTCGTGAGAGCAGTTCTTTCAGCATAAGGCAATGCTTGATAGTTGATTTCTCAAGGCAGTAGGGTATCCAGAAGTGTATAAGGATCATTTTTGTCAACCATGGAGATTTAGCCAATCATGTGATGCTCACCCTGTCGTTGCTTTAGTTGCCTAAAAAAATCCCAAATATTCCTAATTCTGCCTTTCCAATTTAGGAATCTACATTTGCTGAATTACTAGACATGTTATTTAACCCCAGCTGCAGAGGAGCTAACAAAAAGGGGAAGGCAACAACCCCCAAGTTAGAAAAACTTAGCAAGGCCTTGCTTGCTGGGCTAAAAAAGCAGGGGGCACTAGGAGAAGCCTGTTTTATGGGAGGAAAACTAGAAGGTGCTTGTTTGAACCTTCCTCTCACCTCAAAGAGAAAAGACTCAGGCACTCGAAGTTGATTAAAACCAAACCTAGTACAAAGCCAGTCCCTCTTCTTCCTGAAGGTAGCATATTTTTCAGATGGCAAAATGAATTGTCTATTTAAAAAAAGCACATAACCTAAATATATTTTATGCAATCATTGATTTGCGATACTGAACGTTCTCAAAGACTTCTCAGCACATGAAGCCTGTGCCTTGGGCTCATGCACATGGGCAATAAAATAAGACCAACTTTTTAGCCACTTATTTCTGGGGCTTGTGGGGCCACTGCTCCGTTAACACAAACCAACCCAGACACCATCTGCCACGGTAGCCTTTTTACAGTGAATCTGATGGTATTTAACACACAAAATATGTCACATTTCAGAACAAGTTGCCAGCATCTCTCATATAAGATTATTTTCATACACAGATACTCTCACTAACTCCTCAGAATGAATCCCAAACATGACCCAAGAGAAAAAGGATGTAAGTACAAGTCTAATTTTAAACAAGTAACACAACTCTCCCTTCAGCTTCGTCGTATACACACAGGAGCTAAAGGAATCTAAGAATCAAATGCAGAGCTCCTTAAAATAATACCTATTCTAAGTATTTTTATGCTAGCAAAAAATATCTCAATGTTTTAAAGTAGCAAATTTACATTACCTCTTTTATACTAGGATTTTCCTTTACCAGTTTAGCTTTAGTAGAGATGATCCTCCCTAACTGAATATTTACAGACAAGGAAAAATAATTAAACAACAGGATATTTATTTTGCATAGAAATATTTACAGGAAAATACTTAAAAAATTAAGTATTCAAAGTTTCACTGACTTCAAAAAAGCTTCATGCTTATATGCTATAAAAACATATTGCCTTTACTGTGCTCAAATTTACTATTCAGATCTCTGGATCTTCTTATAAGAGCTTTCTTTTGTGCTTCATCAAATCGATGGACTTTGAGATCCTGGTCCCGGTCAAAAGGCCTTCTTTCCTGAGGCTTGTTCTTTTCTTCAGATGCCTTGCTCTTTAGCTTTTTCTGATGTATGTCCATCAGAGATTCTGACCTCTTTGACTCCTGGAAAAATGGGAAGAAGGAAGAGGAAGTCAGTATTACAAGTATCAACAAGGGAGAGAAAATCCAAGTTAAATCCAAGTTAGAGATACCCAATCTCTGCAAACTGTGGAGATTAATTATAAAAATAATGCAAAAGAAATATAAAAGTTGCTCTGCCATTCTTAGAGTCAAATGCAGGCAACATGTCAAGAGCACAGGCTCAGTTTCTGATACACATCCCCAAGCATCTGCATTTGGTCACTGCTAAGGGCAGCAACAAGCTAGATACCCTTTCCATCTTACTCTCATGTGCTATGATGTTTTAAGGTGTGCTCTCTTCAGTATTTGAATTACCTTTTGCAAGCCTAAGGACAGTCACAGGTTTGAGCTAGAGCACATTTTGCCACGTCAAATACTTTTGTTCCATTTATTAAACACACAATCCAGCTAAAATATTACATAAAACTTTTGCTGACTTCACACAGGAGCAGGATACTTCTCACAAAGCTTATGCATCCCCTCCTTTACTTATGTGTATTTGTGTATCTCACAGCAGTCAATTTCTCAGACTCTCAAATCATTACAGACCCTCCAAAAGATCAGTCTGAACCAATTCCCTCACCAGAAAGAGCAAAAGGTGAGCAGGTCTGTTTTCTCATGTCTAGGAACAAGACATCTTTATTCCAGAGGTTCACTTTCCCTCACTCCCTGTGCAAACACGTCATCCCACATACAAATAATAATTCATACATAGCGTAAGAAATGAAAACAGAAAACGGGTAATATTTATTCATGGTGTAACTGCATCAGTGCTGACAGCATTGCACTAGAGAATGTATATGGCAGCAGCACTGAAAGAACTAACTTTAAAAAAACAGTTTAAGAACTAAAGCTCCTGAAAAGAACTATATTCAGAATGATAGTGGAAACAGATAATACAGACGGAATTTAAGGCAGTATGCTAATAACTCTGGATTTGCCAGCCTCTAAATAAAGAGGCACATGTGATTTAATGTATGACAATTAAAAGTGCCAGATAAACTTAAATCATGTAATATAAGTCAAGGTTGTGATTCTCAAGAATTATACTCTCAAGAGACCAGACTGACTTGCAGAAGACATCAGGCCTTAAATCAAGGACGAACACCTGTAAGGCACCAGTCCATATTCTCTGGTGAACAGGGCTGGCAGACAGAGAAGTGGGAGGGAAGTTGACATAGAGTTCAGAATTTTAGTAACCAACATCAGCCTGTGAAAATGGGCTCCTTCTCCAGAGACTGAGGAAAAGTTGAAATAATAATGTTGTTGTAATGAGCAGTTAATGTAATTAATTAAGAAGCATAATTAATGCATTGACCTGCTTAGTCTATCAAGCTTCTTTTGGGTTAATGCATATTTTGTCCTAGAAGTTAAACTTTTACTACTGTTTTATTCCTGGAAAGCTGGTAACTTGGTGAAGCAAGCTAACATCTGACTGAAGGTTGTCTACTGCCAACAACCATGTCCTGATGTGAAGAGGATTTAAGGAAAAACCACTTAAAAACTGAGCCAATGCACACAAATCCCAACTCTGTAACACTTTTCAGCAGCTGCCGGCTGACCTGATCCTGCTCTTCTTGAATTCAATGTCAAATGTTCTAATGACTTAAGCAGCAGTAGGTTTGGGCACTAAAAGGGAAGACTGTAGTAGCACCATCACAGAAACCAGCAGTGCTAGGAATGAGAACCAGAATAAAAGTATGAAGAATTAAAAGAAATGCCAGAAGAGGAAGTATTTTGCTATCACACTTACATTGTATGAAGCCACCTGCTCAACAAGTCTCTTATCTCTCCCAGATAACACGATTTCTTCATCATCCTTACTGGTTGACTTTTTTGCCTCTTCTCTTTCCTGGTGAGTAGAAGCAATCACATGCTACAGTAATCAGAATGTCCGAAGAAAAAAGTAAGGAAATCTATATTTATTTTAATTAAATCTGAAGGTTAGAGGCCACAATAGAGGCCAGCTATTTCTTGCTCAGCTTGATAAAAGAAGAACAACACACTGTAACTGGAAATCGAATGAGCTGATACAGAGCACCTGCCTACTACAGAAGGAAGAGGGAATAAATGAGTGTCAATGTTACTTAAAATCGTTATTTCCTTGCCTTTACCTTTAAGCCCCAGTTAGTAAGTTTTGGAAACGAAGGATAAACTCAAAGCAAAAAAAATGAATTGACCAGCTCAGGGAATCTTTACTTTGCTTTCACAGAATATCAACAGCATCCATACTGCGCACAGGTGTACGTGGATGAGTAAATGCTCACCTTGGCTTTTCTCTCTCTGTCAGCAGGAGTATCTGTCCAAATAGATCTATCTCCTGATTTGTCATCAGCTCTTCTCTTGAATGTTCTTGGGCCAAATCCAAAGCTTTTCAATTCAGGTGGGAGCTCTGTCATCCATGATTCCCTGGTAATTTGCTTGGGTTCATCCTTTATAAAAGAAATACGTGCAGAGGAAGAGTAAAAAGAGCATTATCAAGAATTGCTGTCTGAATCTCTTGGCTTCCAGCAGAAATAATGAATTTTTCTCGAAATATTTAGTGTCCTGAGCAGAACTGCAACTGGGTTCACACAGAAACAGGCAAAGAAAAAAAACACAAATATGCTCCAGCAACAAAATACTAGAAATTAAGAAATGCAACTTACGCTGTCTGCTGAAGTAAGTTTTTCCTTCATTCTCTGAGCTCTGCGTTCAAATTCTTTAGTGACATCAGACTCCACTGGTCCTTTTGCAGGCACTGGGCCTATAATTTCTTCTTCTTCCTCACTACTATCTGTTACCTTCCAAAAATAAAACATTTCTCTCAACCAGAGCTCTAAGTCCATCAAGAAACACTTCAGCTTCACAGGATCAGAATGATTTTATAAACCTAATGCAATGCACCTGCCAGGCAACAAACCCGGATCAAAACTCGGTATTAGAGGTGTTCTAGTATTTTAACATGGATACTTAGTGTCCGTGTTTCCAAAAGCATCATCTCTTGTCTGAAGCAAAACAGCTGGTTAACACAGTGGCAAAGTCCTGCTACTTTATGTCACTCTGCATGCAGCCATGTAGCCCCTGTGGCCCTAGGTAAAGCTGCAACACACAAACTTAGGTGTTTGATACTTTGAGCTTCACCATCACTAGCAACATTTGGATGCATCTCTGGAATAAGGATCACAGCTGTCTCGAGCTTAGATTCTGTAAGGGTGCTAGGAAGAGTTGCACGCAAGCTAGGGCACAGTGACATGCATGGTACTGCACCCCTGGGTTTACAGTTATCTGCCAGTCTCACTTGTTGATTCTGTTACTCTCTTCTTCAACCCCTTTCAACATCACATTCCAAGCAATTATTTGGAGAATGGCTCCAAAAACCCCAAAAGCAGTAGGTGTTAATAAGACCCTTTATGGATGCCATAGGTTGTACTGAAAGCTCACAGTAATCCAAGTTAAAACAGCAGATGTGGACAGAGGCAGAACTAGACGTGAAATGATGGCACCACAGTGCGCCTGGAAGCAAAGCTGAGGTGCCCAGTATCTACAAAAGTGAAAAGATTCAGCTATGGCCTGAATGTGTGTGATAAAGCAACAGGAGTAGGATGAGGACAAGGCTGTACAGTCAGGAAGCAGAGAACACTGTTCCAGAATATAAGGTGGTGGTAAATGAGTTTCAAATGAAAGATGGCTGGGGGGAATGGCTTGCTTTTGTCATCCCAAACTTTGGTTACCTGGTGAGCATCTTAAAATCAAGACTGGACATCATCAGAGAATGTAAAACAGCTCAAGAGTGATGGGCAGTGGAAAACCAGTATCAGTATCCCTCTGCATAAAATAAGGCTCATGAGGCAGAGGTGACCCAGTGGAGGATACAATAATGGAGTACAGAACCTCACTGGAAGAGTTACCTAATAGGAGCATGGGGAATGGAGGACGAGTGAACAGAGGAGGAGAGAAGGAAAGTTATCTGTATACTGAGTTCAAGCCTAATACTTCAGGCTGCTCATAGCTGGCATTTCTCTGCTGTAGAGGGATTTACACTATGGAGGACAGGAGATGTGAAATTAGCCACTTCACTCCTGTCCTGTGTGCCATTTGCAACAGAAACACTGCTCCAAGCTGGTGAAGGCAGTTGGCATGTCTACCTTTCGGAGTCAATGAAGGTACGGTCAGGAAGGCAAGCTTCAGGGAGCAAGAGTTTTGGAGAATGGCTCCAAAAACCCCAAAAGCAGTAGGTGTTAATAAGACACAGCTTCATGTGGCTGTAAACCACAAGGTGCAAGAAGAGGCTTAGCAAATTTAATGGCTGTATGACCAATTTCATCTGAAAGACTGAGAAAGGCAATAAATAGCTTCTCATTTATAAACACCATCAATGCAGCATGGTAACACCAAGTTCTCTCATGATTTTTCTCAAACACATTTATATAGCCAGGCTTTCACTGATTATCTACCACTGCAATATTGCTTCAGCTTTTAGAGAATGGGATAACTGCATTTTCTCTCTCTTTTTAAAGAAGGAGCAGGTGGGGAAGAAGAATAACCATCTTGAGAAACCAAAGTAGTAAACCACTTCCTTCTTCTGTGTACAAACAAATAAAAAATGCAAATATATAACACTTTCACAATAAATTGTAGTGTGAAGTAGTTGAGAATGAAAGGCAAATCTCATGCTGAGTTTTAATTGAAGTGTGTCTCGTTTCCTTTCTCATTAGTCTGAAGTCCAATTCATTCCATTACCACCTGCTTCAAACAAGATGAAATTAAACAAAGATTAAAAAATACTGCCTTCAAGTTTGAAGGGGAAATCAATAGAAGGTGAACAGTCAGCATAGAATAAGCTGCTTCTAAAGATGTACTAGAATACAAAATAAATAAAAATAAACAACCTCACTCATATTCAAAGGTAAAAGATAAAGTATTATTAGGAAGAGGGAAAAAAAAAAGTAAGCCAAGTTCTGTAATAGCTGTAACAAAGCTGATGCTAGATCTATTTAGGGTTAAAAGAGACCTTTATGTTTGCAAAATGTACAAGCAGACCACTTTTGACATCCCTGCCTCAAGAAATCTGTCATTATGATAAACTGCTTGTTATTTGGAGTTGCAAGACGATGAGTATCTTCAAAATGTCAGGCTATCATTCTTCATGAAGGATTATGACAACACTTTGTTGTAGGAGGCTAGAGAATGGTGCACTGCACAACTTCTAACAAAAAAAGTAAAGCTCCAGAGCAGCCTTTGCCTCATTCCTCCCTAGCATGTCCCACAGTGGCTGGGAGTTAAACTTCAGGATGTAAGTATTTTAGAAATAAACACAGTAACTGTTAATTCTCACAATGAATTAACATTTAATTATAGCATGAGAAAGACTCAATTGCCTAAATGCTGGTATCCAACATGATTTTTGATGTCTTAGAGCATCCTGCCTGGCTTCAGACATGCTGCTCAAAAAGGATGCAGGCTTCTCTCTAAGGTGCTACTCCCTATCTGCCAGCCTACTGCAGACAATTCAGATCCTCTGGAATGGTGCTAAAGGCTCTGCTTAAGAAGCTGAATCTTCCCCATACTTCTGGCTGTATTTTATCACAGATCTTAGTCCTGAATGTTCTCTAGGAGTATATGCATCATTTTGTGGCTAGGGCTTATCAGCTATAGGACTTCTAACTAGTTTTTACCCAACCTGATGAGAACAGTCAAAAAAACACGACCCAAAAAACTGCATCAGCATCACTGTCCTGCTCTATTTTACTCCCAGTTACAAGTATCATCTTACTATTGATAAGAACAGTTAGCAACACTGTGGCATCATTCTTGATTGCATTCTTCCAGATACACTTAGTTAACACATCTACTAATAAACATTTTTAAGGAGGTGAAGATATGCAAAATACTCAATCATCTTGCTCCCCATCAGCAATAGAGTAAAAGTTTGAATTATAGGTAAATATTTTCATTTTTACAGCCTGCATTACTTCTTCCATGCCTTTAGAAATTTGAACTTTGCCAAGATGTTCACTTGTGAAGGACATCACACCAAAAGAAATAAAAAAGCACTAGGAAGTGTTACTATGACTGCAGTTTAGGATGCCTACATCTCTTGTGTTCACTGAGTGCATCATGTCAAACAGCAAAATCGCAACAAACTAACCAGCCTTTTTCTTTTTCCAGGCTTATTTATGCTCCACTATTTGACTCAGGCAAAAAATATGCCAGACACTTTCTTGTCTAAAGTTAAACTCTCATTGAGAAGCATGTCCAGTAGACTTTTTCAGGCTCCTACTATAGCTTATATTGAAACAAAAGGCTTCTGTTTCCACAAACCTGGGTACGGAATTCTGATGAAACAGACAGTCCTATGGAACATCTGCTATTCCCAGTGTCCTGTGAAGGTTTCCTAAAGCCAGGAGGTAATGCAGGACCTATAATGGGCCTTGAAGGAACAAAAAAAAATTAATTTATCTTCAACTGGAAGGCAGGAAAAACCCAAGAAGTAACATAGCCAACACAGACAGTGCACTCAGTGACAGCCTTCCACTCCTTGCTGCAGGAAAGCATGTAATAGGTTAATATAAAAATTAAATGTAGATGAGAAATGCAACTCTCCTTCTTCCCTATACCAAGTGTGCCCCTATGCGCACACCACAGAAATAACTGAGTAAGAAGAGTTTCTCCATTCTCCAGGAGGACCTCTGCAGATAGCTAGGATGCAAGAAAACCAGGAAAGTTGCAGCATGTACTCAAGAAATCCACATTTTCCTTCCTTAGCTTCCTTCAGCAGATTCAAGAGCTATGAAAGGTGAGAGGTCAAATACACACTACTCTTTCCCTAGCAACAAAGCCACTTTTGTTCATTCTTGTCTTGCACCAGTTTTGCTGCCCTTCAATAAACAGATTCAGTGAACTGCTCTGATTTTGAATTTATTTTCTCCTGGAGTGGGGATGAGAGAAGAACTTCTGTGATCCCAAGTAACTTCACTGGTTTGGTTTTTTGCCACAGCTCGGAGAGCAGGATAATTTGATTGTCTCCAGGAATACAGAAAGGTGAGAATCTCTTTTCAGCCATGAAAACAGTTCAAAGTATACTACAGACTGTGTTTGCAGCACTGAAAGACTTTTTATACAAGTTTCTCTTAATAATCCACCACGATATTCTTTAAAGCTAATTAAACCCCCAAACAATTAACACCTGAAGAGATATCCAGTGGCAGTATCCTCACAGTGTATCAGCAGAGACTTTATTATGATCTTCAGCTTCTGAGCTTTAAGGCGATCAAACATAACACATGAACTGAGTTATGCTAATTATGGTCTTCTACTAAATCTCGCATAATTAATCAGTACAGCCCTGCTGTAAGTGATATTATTGTCAGGATTTGAAGAAGGGAAATAAAAAGTAGGAAGTCCTGTCAGAAAGCGAATCACAGACAGACATAAGCAATAAACGTGAGCTCAGGCCAGGACAAGGGCATTAGGGAGGTTTCAAACCCAGACAGGAGGTCTGGGTTAAATTTGAAGTTCCACCCCCACCTAGCTGCTTCAAAAAAGAATCAGCTTTTACTCTCCTCCATTCCTTTCTGACTGCTTTCTTGTTAGGGCCACATTTTAAAGTCCCGTTATAATTTAAAGGGACTGAATTTAAACCTATGCATATACGGCCAAAATAATCTCATTTTAGCATACAAGTATGAATGGAGGATGAGAGACAGTTAAACCATACTATAAAAAAAGCTTTCTACTAAAATATATGAGAACATCAACGTTGTGGGCTGTATCTGTGCAACCTGTGAAAAAGAGCAGATGTCAAATACTCTGCCTTGCTTCTGTTGCAGCCCAAAGAATGGAAAAACAGTTCCCATTTTCATCCCTCCCACACTTTCCATTTCTATGCTTTTGTTTTCCACATGAATAACCCTGTTGCTTGGGTCTTCCCTCAGCAACACACAGCCAACATGATTCTTGACATTTTCCTGGATGTCCAAAGACTCTCTGAACAGGTGAAGTGAATCTAAATCAAACTGTTAAACACATTCTGCTGCTGTTGGAAACTTCTCTACCTATATATACGTGTTTAAAAAAAAACACCCCAAAAATCCTTAGCATGAATTAAGCTCTAACTTAAGGAATACTGGATTTCATATACAGCAAAAAACTCTTCCCTGTTGTTGGGCTTGGAGTTCTTGAAAAAGGGTGTTTCAAGATGGGCATTTCAGCATTTCTGTGATGTGTTAACAACATTCTTTAAGATAACTTTTGCTCTTTACCTTGATGTGTGAATACTTTGGGAATACTTATGAGTGCCGCACTTCTGTCTAGCACTGCTAAACAGCAAAATCCTTTCCAAAGTCAAAGGAAAACCATTCATGTATATATTTTATGTTGGAATGATTCAAACAATTTTTAACAAGCTGTGAATTCCCACATGAGCTGCTCCTAAACATGAATATGTTGCTTTGGCAAGTCTGGAGAAGATGTAACAGAACAAAAGCTTTTCTAAAAGAATGAGTATGTCACACACAGCTAATAAACATTATGTCTATACATTAAAACAAACAGCTGTTATTTGCTTCAATTATTCATGGTTAAAGTGAACTATCAAGTTGCTCAATGCTTGAGGCAATGCAGCAGGGAGATAGTTAACAGCACTGTGTCTACACCCTGCACAGCTTACATGCCTCAGTGTGTCAGACTCCCAGGTGTACGGGAGCGGAAGACAGACAGAGCTCTAATCACATCACACCTTTCCCACCTACTCAGAGTGCAGAATGGCTCTGCTCAATCTGCCTTCTGTGTGTGCTAGGAGCAATTGTATGGTAGCTAGGACAAAAAAAACCCTAGCAAGCGCCTTTTCCTGCTTTAATCTTTCACACTCTAGACACAGAGCAGACTCCTGCCCTCTGAATGTAAATGCCCCCTGAATGTAAATGCAAGTTACCCAACATTTTGGAAATAAACTGCTAAGTGGAAGTAAAAGTTGGGTGAATATACAAAAAAATATTATATGATGGGTCACCACCTGCATTACTGCTCATCTCTCTAACCTCCAGACTACAAATTGCCTCTTTCCTTCCTCTTTTCTTTTGCATACTTTGACATAAAATTTTACTACAGGACTGGTCCTGTCAAAAATCAAGAAAACAAGAAGGCTACCACTGCTGATATTAAAAGCTACAAGTATTTATTTGCTTTATTAGAGATCACATTATTTTAGTGATTCCCTAGATTTTATGATCAACAATTATGCATATGAAACAGGAGAAAGAAAAAAAATATTACCCTTGGGACCACCAAATAAGCCCACTGAATGTGACAGCCACAATTAGAAGAGTTGGTCAGTTATAGCAAAGTGTAACCAGACAGATACAGAAAGGATGCTTACACAGCTCAAGAACAAATTGAGTCCCTTTCCTAGAACTGAAAACTCCTACATGATAGGCAAGTATTGATGCATTTTATCTACCAGCTCTTTATTGCTCTGAGGAAGGTAACATCGATCAAAGGACTTTCTTGTACCTTCCATCAATAAATGTCCCCTTGAAAGTGCCAATTTCACTATGGATTATTTCAAATTATAGAAGGAAGTGCACAGATTAATGTAAAGACTAGAATGCTGTGAGACATGGTTACGTTCTGCACAGAAAATCCATAAACAGTTGTTTGGGTTTTTTTTGGGGGGGAAGGGGGAAAGTATTTTATAACTGCATGCAAACTAACAGAAAACTTTCTGATAGAGGCTATAAATAATATTTGCTTAGACCTGAGCTCTTGCCTTCTACAAACCTACACTGTTCAGATTAGTTTTGCACCTGGAGATTCAAAAATAACCCCTGATGCATTAGCAAATGACAATTCCAATAACCTGCATTGCACTGCACCACACAAACGTTAACTGCCATACTCATTCAGCCCAGAATTAAACACGGAACTGAGTCCTTGCACCTGTAATTTGTTTTTTCTGCATTGATTTGAGACCTACCATAAGAAATAGATCTTGAATGTCAAATTTCCTCTCACAATTCTTATTTTTAATTTTTCTCTCCACTCAGGACTAGGAGGGCAGTGTGTTCTATCTCAAAGGAATGCCATTCCCATTCTCAGAATGTGGAGGAAGCAACTCTAAGCATTTGAACCTGAAGTGCACAACTGGAAGTGTTCTGTAATAGCGCGACAAAATATTTTACCTTAAATAACCATGTTTCAAGGAAAAGAGTCTGAAAATAATTCAACTTCAATTACCTCTCTGGAGAATCATCCTGTTTTTTAAATCCAGGAGGAAGAGCAGGCCCAAAAAAGCCATCATCATCATCATCATCATCTTCCTGATTTCTTTTTGGCTTTCTGCAAATAAAAAGATTTCACTTAATAATTACCTTGACATGCACAGCAATTATCAACATTTTAAAAAGGAAAAAAAACCCCATAAAATTATTCCAAACAGTCTTATGTACTAAATATCCTGCTGTTACCAAGGAGACCGTGCAAAAGGATCCAAAATAATTTGAAGCAATTAAAGAACTGGGAGCATAAGCTTCACTCCAAAAATGCTCTGACATTTCAAAAAACATTAAGAATGCTTTTGCTGCAGATGGAAGAGTAGTGTAATGTTGAAATATTATTCTCTAGTCACAAAATAATTTGAAATTCAACACCTTTTTCTGCATTTTTATACACTGTCTGCATTTTCACTAGTAATTTCCCCAGTTCAGTTCTAATTAACTGAAAAACTGTTGAGTAAGACAAGAAAAAAGTGAGTAATATTTACTCTTAAGATGGCATAACACCCTTCAAGTGCTTTATACAAGGCCTAGCACAAACACATACAGCAGCTGTAAGTACTCAACCCCGCCAAATGAGAGTATATGCACACTCCTGTTATTTGCTAAACAAACCATGTTTTTTCATTAGAGTTGACTCATGGACATAAATTCATGGCCATAAACAGTTCTTTATGAACTTTCAGTGAGAAGTAGTATACCAGAAACAGGGTAAAACTCAAGCACCGAGTACATACATTATAAGTGGTGTCTGATCTTGGTATAAACCAAGCAAAATACTAAGGATTTGATTACTTTAATGGCAGAATTAATGTAAAGACAGAGATCTGATTGCCCAAAATAACTTAATTCCATTGTAGGGTGTCAGACAGGTCAGCTGGACATTCTTGACCACAAAGAACATGCAGAACATGTCATGAAGTTTCACACAGGTACAGGGTTTAAATTTTTATTTATATAATACTGTCCCTGTCTCATAATTTATACAGAAATATTTCATTTGCAATACAATGTCAATATACAAATAACCTAAGAATACACTCACTTGGGTGCTGGATCTCCTATCTCTTCTTCAGAATCTCTGTTTGTATCTCTGGGTAGAGGAACTGATTCCGAGTCATCATCGCTGTCAGGAGTTTCTGAGCTACAGCTGCTTTTATAGCCTGGAGGCAATGCTGGTCCTGCAACTGAATGTCCCAGTATTTGGGATAATTAGTAAACATTTTAATTAAGTACGATCTATTTTGGTACTTCCAAAACATCTACCTGGAATTAAGTTTATTCAATCATTGTTCTGTCTAGCATTTAGAGAAGACAAATAAACAAACTTCTAGAAGTTACTTTTTTTTCAGCATCATATTTCAATGAACAACCCCCCTGAATTAAATTAGTAAATTACTAATCCATTACTACATGAGTGTCTTCTGGAACAGGACTAGAAAGCCATTTTATCTAGCAACTGATTTACAATACATATGGCATGAACTGGTGTATTTAAAAGAAACTATCACCTTAATAAAACATTTGAATATTACTGGTGAAGAATCACTCCATTTGTGCATACACAGCATGGGAGACCATAGATTAGTGGAATTTAATTGCCAGCCTGCCTTAGGAATGGTTTAGCAATTACAGTTATTCTCAGTTCAGCTAAGCATGAACAGCAAGCACAGACTTAAGTACTCTGCTGAAAAAAAGGGATGATTTAGGCATTCAGACATCAAAGAATCACTACTGTCAGGAGGCTGGGGCAGTGGATGGAGCTTTTATCATCCAGTCAACCCTTTACACTCTGGAGTATGAGGGGGAATATCCCAGCAAAGGAAAGAATTAGACGCCAACACTGCTAACAGGCCTGAGCCATTTCTGGCACTGTCTCCACAAGAAGGCGCACCCTTTACAGACTTAATTTGGATATAGTGCCATGTACGCTGGGTAAAGAAGCAGCTTAGCCACTGATCCTAACAGCAAATGCCCCCTAAATAAGACACTGTGTTAACACAGACACCCCACAGGCTCAATCAAAACAGAGCCAGCTGGAGTAAGCAAAGACCAGCAATGGCCCCAAATAAGAGGCCTTCCCACACCCAGGGCCAGCACCAATTTACACAAACAACACAAACAGACATCTGATATAACGGAGATTTAATCCTACTGAAGATTTAGCATCCAGAAACACAGACACTGTTCCTCCTTTTAATATTTCAAGCACCAAGTCCAAGACAGACAGGACAGAAAGATGCTTTGGTGAGAAAAGACATTGTTAGCTTTATGAATTGTTAAGGGTTAGATGAAAAGATGAGGTGGAATAAAACTACAGAAATGAAGGGTACCAGGAAATTACATCTTCAGATAAAGAACTACGACTTTTTGATGGTTCAAAATAAAACCTGATACAGACTATGGTTCCATTGTTAGCTGACAAAGGCCAGGCAGAAATTGAGTCCTTTGAGTGAACTTCATAAAGCTTTACTGATCTTTAGCACAAGACACAGAACAAGGTCAGTCTATTAGTTACAAAGCATCCAGACAGATCTACCATTATTTTGTTTTCTGTTTTAATGGGAAAAACTTTAACCAGGATATACAAAGCCATTTCAGCACTAAGAAAGAAAAAAACCCTCACAACACCCCAGCCTATAAAGCAAGCTCAAGATGAGAGGGAACCAACAAATCAAGGATAAATAGGAATAAAGGCTGCTATTAAGAAGTCTCCCATCTTGGTATGAGAAACACCACTGGATAGAGAGCACTTAAAAACCAGACAAAGCCTAAACAATGGCTTTCTCCAGCTTTATTTGCTCTGAACACAGACAAGTAAGAGAAGGCCTCAGACTAAAAGGAGCAAACTGAGAGATGCAGCTTGAGGAGTCTGACACTGTAGAGGAATAGAAAGATAGGGAGCAGCTTTGTGAACTGGAAAGAACTCATAAAACCAAAACTATTTAAGGAAGAAGACTGGTCCCACTGATGTGTTGGCTAACATCAGGGTTAACCCACATGCTTTTTATCCCAATTCCTCTTCGTTTTGATGGCACAACCCTTTGCGTGGGCTATGCAATAAACTGGCTCAGGGAACTTAAGAGACATAAAAATAACACTGCAAAACCCAGAACTCCCATGACAGAACTGTTTGTTCGTGCAACTGCAGTCTAAGCAGGACTAACCAGAATCAAAATAAGAGAACAGAGAATGGTTCACAAAGGGAAAATGGCATTTAAAGCCTGTGGAAGGAAAAGTCCTTGGACATGGTGAAAGAAGTGGTGGAGAAAGAGACTTGGGAGAATGGGGATTAAAAATTACTATGGTCCTGGTACTGACTGAGACTCTTATTGTTTGAGACTCTTAATCAGTACAGATAATGGTATAGCAATGGATCAGGGTAGGGAGCCAAGGAAAGAGTAGAAAGGAAGGAATGGGAATTGCTATGCATAGGTTCTAGAGGCAAAGAAAGGAAAGGGTAAAGAGGGAGGCCAAGATCTAATGAGAAGCTTGTGAATGAAATGCCCTGGAAGACACGGAAAAGTGAAAAGATACAGACCAAAGAAGGAATAGAAAAAAGCTCAAGACCCACAGCTCACCTCAACCTTTCAGGCAGCTGTAGAGAGCCATGAGGTCCTCCTGAGCCTTCTCTTCTCCAGATCAAACACCCCCAGGTCCCTCAGCCGTTCCTCAGCACACTCCTGCTCCAGACCCTTCACCAGCTCCATTGCCCTTCTGTGGACCCCCTCCAGCACCTCAATGCGTCTCTTGTAGCGACAGGCCCAGAGCTGAACACAGGATCAGAGGTGCAGCCTCACCAGTGCCAGTACAGGGGGATGATCACTGCCCTGGCCCTGCTGGCCACACTATTGCTGATACAGGCCAGGATGCTGTTGGCCTTCTTGGCTGCCTGGGCACAAGCTGGCTCACATCCAGCTGTAAATCAGCATCCCAGGTCCTTCTCTGCAGAGCAGCTTTCCAGCCACTCTTCCCCAAGCCTGTAGAATTGCATGGGGATGTTGCAGCCCAACAACCCCAACCAGCATTTTGCCTCATTGAATCCCATACCCCTGGCCACCCATCAACCCAGCCTGTCCAGATCCCAGATCCCGAGCCTCCCTACTCTCCAGCAGACCAACACTCCCCACCAAATTGGTGTTATCTGCAAATTTACTGAGGGTGGAACTCAATCCCCTCATCCAGATCATCAAAGAAGATATTAAAAACTGTTGGCCCTAACTGAGCCCTGAGGAACATCACTAGATGTGATGCCATTTACCACTCTCTGGGCTCAGCCATCCAGCCAGTTTTTAACTCAGCAAAGAATCCACCTATCCAGGCCATAAGCAGCCAATTTGACCAGGAGAACACTGTGGAGACACTGTCAAATGCTTTACTGAAGTCCAAATAGATAATGTCCACAGCCTTTCCCTCACCAACCAGGTGGGTCACCTTGTCGCATTTGGCACCCAAGAGGCCAAACTGCATCCTGGAGTGCATCAAACACAGCACAACCACTGAAATGAGTTAGTGCAGCCTCACCTGGAGCACTGTGTGCAGCTCTGGGCCCCACAGTTTAAGAAGGATGTGAAGGTCCTTGAATGTGTCCAGAGGAGGGCAACAAAGCTGGTGAACCCGTTGGAAGAAATGTCAACAGGAGTAGCTAAGGACTTTGGGCTTGTCTAATTTGGAGAAAAGAAGGCTGAGGGGTGATCCCATCACTCCCTACAGCTTCATGAGGTGGAAAAGTGGAGAGGGAGGTGCTGATCTCTTCTCTCCCTGGTCTCTAGGTTTAAAGTTGCATCAAGAAAATGTTAGACTGAACTTCAGAAGCATTTCTCGTCCAAGATGGTGGCCAAACACTAGAACAGGCCTTCTAACAAGGTGGTGGATGCCTCAAGCCTGTCAGTGTTTAAGAGGCATTTGGACAATGACCTTAATAACATGTTTTAACTTTTGGCCAGCCATGAAGTGACTGGGCTTGGTGATCATTACAGGTCCCTTCCAACTGAATAATCTGTTCTATTATCTTACAGTTCTGAATGGGACCTTTTAGACAGGAGTCTAATAATGGTTATTCAAAGTCCTATTTTGTTGCTGTTGGAAGGCTGAAATTATGAAAGTAGAAAAAAAAAAAAACCCAAACCCAAATCCCAGTGTTCTTAAAAAAAATGAAAGGTCATCTTAAGAATAAGTGAGACCACAAGGAAAGAACACATACTGTAAAAGCTGTTCAGCTTTAAAAAGTGAAGTATCTCTTAAAATAACTGGAATATAAAGGAGATGGTTACAGAACAACTTTCAGGCCCAGACTGTCTCAAGACCCAGCACAAGTTACAGCACAGAAGAGGTTTCTGGCAGCCCTACTACATGATTTTGCAACTTGGAACCTTCAGGCACCAGGCTGCATCTGCAGCTGTACCTCTGTACAAACTGTGTTACACCAAAGTATCTGCTCTTCTCTTCCTCCTCTGTAGTGCAGCAGTATGCCTCCTGTGTCGAGCAGGTACACTGAGTTGTTGAGCCAAGCTGTTGTAAGTCAGGATAAGCTTATAGAAGTTATAAAGCCAAATAAACAACACCACCCCCCCCCCCCATTTTGGGGGGTTTGGTATGTTTTGTTGTTTGTAGCTTTTTTGGGTATATTTTAAGGCAAATAAACTCCTTCACCCACTTCACATAGAAATCCCCAAGCAGATGTGGTACTGTAACTGCAGAGCTGATGTATACCTGGGCAAAACGTGGACACACCAGGCTGAATAACCTAGACTAGATATTGCCAAAACAGTTGGTATCAGAAAACCAGTCTAATGGTAAGTTTAACTTATGTTGTTCAGTGGATTCTTCCACAGTGTGGATATATGTATCGCATGTATGATGTATGAGAATGCTGGTGTAAGGAAACTAAGTCATCACCACATATATCATTAGGAAAAGCTGCATTATTTCAGACAGGCGTGTTAGTCAGGACTTGAGTAGAAAGCCAAGCTGCGGGCCCGGAGCTTGACGTTGCTATGGTATTGCTAAGGCAGCACCTTGCTTTTCCTTCCTACTGCTCCCTCTTCTGGATTAAAAAATGAGAAGAGCGGATGAGCACACCAAACCTTTCCCATTGGAGCTGCACTGTTGGGAATAACTGAATGATCACTGAAACACTGCCAGTAATTGAATGTATATACACTAATGACTTGAGGATGGATTAAAGACAGGGAGTACTAACGCTCAAACTGATACTTCCAGAGATATTACCGCATGTAAGGGTTTAGAGTGGGGGGATCCAAGCACCACTGCAGAAGAGCCAGCCTGGCAGTCAGCTGGCCCTGGGGAGATCCCACTGCTGTCAACACCAGAGACCCTAGGAGGTGCAGCACCACAGCCTCATTGCTCACAGGCCAGCTCTGCATCCTGAGGGAAACTGGCTAGAACACAGCAGTTTCACAACATGTTTTGGTCTGACACAGGAGAACAGGAGGCAAGACCTAATCACTGCCTTGTTTTATTTTTCTACCCACTAACATCACACTCAGAGCTACTAACAAACACGAGCATAGAAATGCAGGAAAATAATAAACAAATCCATGCAATATTAAGAAAAAAAAAAAAAAAAAGGAAAGGTTTAGACAATTTCATGTCTGCAGTACCACATCATGTGAGTACTGTTTTATAGAATCACAGGATGGTTTGCGTTGGAAGAAACCTTAAAGCTCATCCAGTTCCAACCCCTCCTGCCATGGGCAGGGGCACCTTCTGCTAGACCAGGTTGCTCCAAGCCCCGTCCAGCCTGGCCTTGAACACTGCCAGGAATGGGGCAGCCACAGCTTCTATGGGCAGTCTGTGCTAGTGCCTTAACACCCTCTTAGCGAAGCATTTCTTACTAACACCTAACCTAAATCTACCCTCTTCCAATTTAAAGCTATTCCCCCTTGTGCAGCTCACCACACGCCCTTATAAACAGCCCCTCTCTAGACTTCTTGTAGCGCCTTCACGCACTGGAAACTGCCCTAAGGTCTCCCGGAGCCTGCTCTTCTCCAGGCTGAACAGAACACTTGTTTTCCCTTGGGGAAGTCACTCTAACACCTCCCCGTGAAGCTCTGCGCCCCCGCGGCACCGATAACCGCGGACCGACCCTGCAGCACCCGCACTCCGCGGACCCCGGACCCGCACCACAGCCCCGCCGGCACGGATCGAGCCTCCCCGCGTCGCGCCTCACCCTGGCTGAAGTCCTCACCCGGGTCCGCCTCTGCGCAGCGCGGGAACCCGGGCGGCAGCTCGGGGCCGATGAGCTCCCGAGCCATGGCGAGGCCTGCGCAGCGCGCATGCGCCACAAGGCCTCCACCTCCTCTGCCCCCTCCAGCCCCGCCCCTCCGCTGCCACACTTCCGGCGCTGCGGTACGCAGGAAGAGTCAGGGAGCGCGGCGGAGGCCCGGAAGTGACGTGTTTTGTAGCGGCCGCTGGGGTGCCCCACGTGGTGGCGGGAGCACACCGCGGAGATCGGGCCGCGCGGGGCCCGACATGAATCCGTTCTCCTGGTTCCCGCCGCCGGGGTTCCTCCCGCCGCCCTTCTGCCCGCCGCCCCCCTGGGACCCCAGCCTCTGGGCTCCTCCCGGTGCCTTCCCGCCGCACGGGCACTACCCTCCTCCCGACGGCTACTCGCAGCCGGCCGACAGCTGCCCGCCTGCCGAGAACTGCCCGCCAGACGAGCGCTACTCGCAGACCGAGAGTTACATGCCTCCCGCTGGCTGGTACCCCCCGGCCTACAGAGAGCAACGGCAAGGCCCGTACGCTGGTGAGGGGCTTGGGGAAAGTAGTCTTCTGGGCCCATGAACTCTTCGCAGTCCCTCATGGTGGGGACCTCCCTGACCCATGGAGGGTGGAGGACTTCCCTTCTGAGTGCGTGACCTGCTGTTCTTGCTTGTTGTACAGCACTGGTTTATGTCTCAGGCCCTTCACTGCCACAGCAGGGGCTGTGATCTACCAGCTGCGTGTATAACTGGCTTTTTCTTTATTTCTTTTGGCAGCTGGAAACGGCAATTTCTCCCAGAAATGGCAAGGCGAGCAAGGGCCTGGATCTGGCAAACATTATCCAGAAGAAAAGAACAAGCCAAAGGTAGGGACTGGATTCCCCAGCACGAGAAATATAGGGACCTGTCGGAGTGGACATGGAACTGTTGGAACAAGTCCAGAGGAGGGCCACGAGGATGATCAGGGGACTGGAGCACCTCCTGTATGAAGACAGGCTGAGAAAGTTGGGGCTGTTCAGCCTAGAGAAGAGAAGGCTGCGTGGAGACCTCATAGCAGCCTTCCAGTATCTGAAGGGGGGTCTTATAAGGGTGCTGGGAATAGACTCTTCATTAGGGGCTGTAATGATAGGACAAGGGGTAATGGGTTAAAACTTAAATAGGGGAAGTTTAGATTGGATATAAGGAAGAAGTTCTTTACTGTAACGTTGGTGAGGCACTGGAATGGGTTGTCCAAGGAAGCTGTGAATGCTCGATCCCTGGCAGTGTTCAAGGCCAGGTTGGACAGAGCCTTGGGTGACATGGTTTAGTGGAAGGTGTCCCTGCCCATGGCAGGGGGTTGGAACTTGATGATCTTAAGGTCCTTTCCAACCCTGACTATTCTATGATTCTGTGGTATGTTTGCAGAAATTACAGTTGATGGAAAGAGCTGAGTGCAGGTTGCTTTGCTTGGAAGAGAAGTGATTTGAACTTCATTTTCGTCTTTGAAACTGTTGAAACTTGTTTTATTGATGGCTTTATTAACAAAAATACTCATGGAAGTGTTTCGCCCTTAATTAAGGCCATGAATACCTTGTTGTCTTGTAACTGTATTCTTGACATGATCTCATAATTTTTTGGTTTTGTTTTGCAGAACAAAAAGAAAAAAGAACCTGTCTTCACTCATTATTGTGATACCTGTGACCGTGGCTATAAAAACCAGGAGAAGTATGATGAACATGTTTCACAGCATAAACAGGTTGACGAGTTCAGCTTGTTTTATTTACACTTTGAGTTTCAACTCTGTCCCTGATAAATAGTTAGCTGTAGTCACTCTTTGTACGAGTCTTTGCAAAGAGATTCCAGAGCTGCAAAAAATGTTAGTAGAAGAATTTTTTTCTGAATGTTGTGTGTAGGGGAGGTCTCAGTTGTATTTTTGGTTTTATTGCTGAAGTCATTTTAATGTCAGTCTTGTGGATCATTGCTGAATGGTAGGAGTTAAATCATTGACATCAGTGTAGGATAAAAAATTTTTGTGTGAAAAGACTTCGTGGAAAATATATTTTAAAATCCACTCCTTTACTGTAAAAAAGTATCAACATTTGAAATTGGAGTCTTGCAAATGCTTCTCTTAGGTTAACATTCTCTCCAGTTTTCAGGTACATTGGCTTCACTGGTTATTCTAAAATCGGATGAAATTTAAAGTGCATTATCCCTTCTGACTGTTTCTACAAACACCTTTGTTTTGAAACTGTGTAGCTTAAAAGTTCTGTGTAACTAAATGTACAGTCATCTGGCATTGAGTTTTAAGTGTGCTCAAATGCTTGTTTATAATTTGATTGCATAACTTGGTGTGTCTCAAGTTCATCACCTTGTCTTGCAGTGCACAGAAGAAGGTTGCAATTTCAGCGCACACGAGAAGATAGTTCAGATACACTGGAAGAATGTAGGTATCCCCATGGGTCCAGAATATGAATCTGTGCGATGTTTACTGTAGGCCCTTTTGCTCTTCAGAGGCTTGCTTTCATTCTGCTGGAAGGCAAGTGTGTCACCTCTGACTAGAATCTGTTGTAAGACAATATTGTGGATGAGAATATGTTGAAAGCTGTGACTTAAATGGGTTTATTATCACTGTGTCTCACTAATTTTGGAGACATAAACAGTGCAATACTGCTATAGTTTTAGAGAATGATGCTTTTTTCCATGTATGTTTTTTTTCTTTCCCCTTTTAAACACCTATGAAATACTTTCTTCTTAGGCGCATGCACCTGGTGCTAAAAGAATAAAATTAGATAGTCCAGAAGAGATCGCTAAGTGGAGAGAAGAAAGAAAAAAGTGAGTAAGGCTTATGACCTACGAGTTTATTTTACTGTATTTTCCCTGTGTGATTGTTAGGTGACAGCTAAAGGGCAGTAACAGCACATGCTGGCTGCTGCTGTTCCTTGGACTCTGCAGAACTGTCGTGATGGTGTTCTGTGTCAGAATGCCTGAGCCAGGAGGATGTGAGCTGTAGAGACTGTAATCATTTGGATGGTTGTAACAGAAGGCAAGATACCAGTATTTAGGAAGTAGATTTCCTAGATGTTTGATTTGGTACCCCAGGTAAGGTGAACAACTCATTTCTTTTAGGCTGATCTCTGAGACATTTTAGGTCAGAAATGTGTGTGTTTGCTTGGTGGATTTTCAATAGCTAAGAAATATGGAACTACTACACTGGTGATAATTGCAGTACCTCGAGCTGTGTGCAGATTTCTGCAGCTTGTTGCAGGTTACTTGAGCAAATATACCCCAACAGGGAGTTTTCCTAATTTTCAAGATTTTTCCATATTGCTTATTTGTTTTCTACTTGAAAGAAAACAGCATCTGTGAATGATGCTGTTTTGGGTACTCTTAGTTTGCATCGTGCCTATGGTGTAAGGTAAAGTTACCATGTAAACAGTATTTCTCATTATTGATCATTCTGCAATGTTACAGTGGTATAGCTTTTTTCTGTTGACCAGTGTTGAAGTGTTAAAAAAACATACTGTACTTCCATAAGCCTTATATGACTGATTTTATCTTTTTTTTGATGAGTTGAACAGATTAAAATCTACCCTTTTTCATCAGGCAAAAGGTGCTATAGGCTTTCCTTACTACTTTTCCTGACTTAAAATATAGTCTTGTAAGTGATCCATACAGAGGTTTTGGTTTTGTGTGTAGAAGTCCTATATACAGAGTGGGAAGTGATACAAAGTCAGTTTCAAGGTTTTCTTTTAGATGAAAATAAACCTAGTTGCCTGATGCAGTCATAATGATGAATCCAGCTTGTGTTTATGTCAGAAAGCAGTGTTAATGCATTCTTGCTTTGAACCTGACTTCTAAAATCACAGAATACCAGGTTGGTAGGGACCTCAGGGCTCACCTAGTCCAACCTTTCTAGGCGGAGCATGACCTCGACAGGATGTCCCAGCATCCTGGCCAGTGTTGGGGAATCCACCACTTCCCTGGGGAGAAGGGAATATTATATTCCAATAGCTGATTGTTCTCATTGTGAAAATTCTCATTGTGGCTTCCCTTAATAAGTTTTTACATGGTGGCTTTGACAGAAAAATGAGTGGACTGTATGGTAGGAGATTTCTTTTATGGCCTTGTGTCACTCTTTGCTGTATTGAGAAACAAAATTTTTCCCCATGTAAGTTGATCCCTGTTTTAACTTTTCTTTGGACATGGCTTCAGCTTTTTCAAACTTCCCATGTTTAAACATGGCTAACCTGCTATAGTTAACCAGATGAAAAATTGCTTGTGATATGTGCAAGTGTAACTTTGGAGTAAGATTATTTTTGGCTTCAAGGTTTCCTTCTGTTCATAACATACTTGAGGGCTTGGGTTTATATGCTTGTGGTCTACATATTTGTTATCCTTTTTTTCCCCCCAACGGTGATACTTGCCACTTCTGTTACTTACAATATGAAGTGCTGACAGGGTTAGCAAAAACCAAAAATGTCCTTTGATTTGTCTGTATGATGGCCTACATTTAATTTTCTAACAGTAGCTCTAAGCAAAAACGTCAGTGCTTGCGTGCAGAGTCTTTGCTACTCATTTTCAACTTTTTATACAATCTTCTGTTCTGCGAGGCATTTGGGAAAGTTCCTCTCTAGTGGCTGATGCTGTTTTAAGTGTTGAAATGATGTGTAAGGTGTGCATGTCAGTACATGCACTACTATATAGTAGAACGTTAGGGAAGCAGGATCTGAATGTACAGTCATGTTTTAGGTACTGTTGGGGAGTATGTTCTGCAAGTCAGAGCAGCATTTTATCTACAAATCAACATTTATCTACAAAGCAACAGTTATCTACAGTTAATTGTAAGGATGATGCTGTGTCTGAGATTGTTTTTGCTGAGTTTCTAGAGAAGGATACCGTTGCTTTTTTTTGTTTTACAGGTGAGTATAATTTGGCTGCGGTACAACAGTGCTGAAAGCTTTTATTCACTGCAGTGCAGTAAAATCAATGGAAATGAAGTCCAATAGTCATAACCAACAACCAAAAAATGCAGTATGGGATTGGTACCTTCTAAGCCAGTGCCACTAGGTGGAGTAGCTGTGGCTTATATTGGTACTTCAGTCCTGTGGGCATCTTATTTAGCTATAATGGATGGGTGTAGAATGACTACCTGGGTGTCTTTTGTTACTCTTTGTACAGCAAGAAAAACTGTACTTGCATCCTGCCTTTTTTTTTTTTTTTTTAATTAAAAAGGAAAAGGGGAGAGAAACCCAGCTGAAACCTTTGTGAAGCATTAATTGGGTTGCCAGCAAAGCGTCAGTTTAGTACTGAAGGTCTGTTGTTGACTTGTAAACATTGCATTGTACAGGAAAAAAGGACACCAGAGGGAGTCTGAGTTATTAGGCGGTCTTAGTTTATGGTGACAGGAAAAAGCCTTTTCCTTTCAAGAAGCTCCAGTCAGAGCTGAGAATGAATCTTTTTAGGCCATTAGTAGTTTGTTTCTAATTAGGTTGCCGTGAATTAACATGTGTGTTTCCATGCTGCATCCCTAACAATCTTGTCTTGTTCTTTCAGCTGCTATAAATAATTACTTAAGAGTTGAATTTTTTTTTTCTTAATTAGCTGCTGTGTTGCTCAGTTGTGTATCCTGTTTAAAATCTTTTAGAAAGAGCCTGTGTTTAAAGAGCAGCCTTACTGATGTAAAGGGAAGAGAAGGGAGAGAGCTGGTAAGGAGCGAGTATCTCTGGATGAAGTATGCTGGGCTAGAATGCTGTTTCCCTGTCTTGAGTTTGTACAGTGTCCTGTTTGTTGCTGCAGCCTTCATGCTTCTGCTTACCTGAAAGATTCTTTAATGGTTTGTGGCCTGTTGAACCTGCTGAGCCAGGCAATCTAATTAAGCCAACAGCAACAGAGATGAAATTCTGTAGAATCTCCGGGTTCCCCTATGTTTTGCAGACAGATGGTTGTGAAGTCTGACATCAACTTCGGTGATTACAATCACTTTTCGTGTTTTGATTTGTCCTATCCCTTCCAAGTGTTGAGAAATGTGCTGTTTTCAGCATATTTCTTCTTAAACACAGGCTTGAAGGGAAGTATCTACAGTGTGTTTCCTTGATGTGTCAGAATGAGGTGTTGCTGTCTTCGCTTTTTCCCAAGTGAGATCTGTCTTTCTAGCCCATCTGTTTCTAATCCAATTCTTCTTGAGCAAAGGTTATTAGAATGTGGCAAGGGTGCTTTGGTGTTAAAGAGAATCGTTAAACTTACTTTTGCTCAGGTCCTAATATAACACTGGAGGATCTTTTTGATCTTGTGTGCTGCCTGTAAATTCTCCCTCTCTTCCCCTCCTCTCACTTACTCGGTTTTCTTTGTTCAGTCAGGGATTGACTGCTGTATTTCCTTGCAATACATCTCATAGGCTGAGCATGTGCTTAATGAATGAAGGCCAGTACTGTCAACCACACCACTTTTAATTAATTTGTGGTTTTCTAGTTGAATAATGATAATCCTGAAGTAGCTTGGAATCCTCCCTGGTGTTGTGTTTGTAGCAGTTAAATATGTAATAAGGAAAGTAATTTCTTGCCACCTAGTAAAAGTAGAGAATATGAAGCAAATAGGAGGAATGTTTTGATAGATCAAGGTAAACTTAGATACCATAAAGTTACTCTGAAATTTACTGCAGGGATGGATTAGCAGTAAAACTGCCTCAGTCACCATATGGTAAGATCACTCTAGAGATGCAATGCCTGATAAAGTGCCTGGAAGTCTTAAACCAAGATCTTTATCAGCTATATTTTGGGTCATCTTTGTCCCCTTTGGGCTGTCATGTCCTCTTTGCTGTTGATTGTGCATATGCAATCAAAACCAGCTCAAGAAATTACTGAGGCAACTTGATCCTAGTGCTGTTCCTATAAAGGTGATAAACTTTCATAGGTTTCTACTCAGAAAGTGTGTGAAGTGTCATAGAAACAAGTCTTTCTTCTGTTACACATTGGCAAAGCTCTGGTTTTCCACTGTTTGCTAAGACCTAGTTTACTGTGATGTTGATGTGAGCAAGATAGAGTACGCTGCCTTATAAAAAATGTATAACTTTGGCTAGTGCACTCATTACCGGGGGCTGGGGGAAGCCCTATTCACTAAGGAGCGCATGCACTTCTACTTCAGTGGTGTTTGTAGGTAGCATTTTAAGAACCTTATTTTGTTAGGAGAGGAGGAGGGCATGTCTTCTGAGAAGGATTCAAACCCAAGTCAGTTCATTAGATTTTAACACGTGGCCTTTTATGTGGAGAAGTTCAGTATAGGCTCTTCCTTCTGCATTGTCACACCTCTGTTCAGGAGAAGCCTTCCTGAATAAGAATCCTCTGTATATTAAAAAAATTAATAAATTCCTCTCTTTGATTTCTTGATCTCTCTTGAGTAGTTTGTTGCTGTCCTTAGATAGTGAAAATTGCAAAGTCTGACATAGTACCCCAAGACTGTAATGTTTCTATTGTAGGCATCTGCCTCCACTTGGGGTCCAGCTGTGTTTTCCTGCCTCCATGGGTGAATCTAGCTGATGCTAGAAGGTGCACAGACCCTTTGTGCTGGGGCTGTGGTACCTGATGGGTTGTGGACTTGCACTGGGGCTGGTGCATTGTGGTGGGCGGGTAACTCTGGTCCATGCTTCTCTGGTCCACTTGCTCCTTGCAGGACAACTGGGGTTGACTTGGCCAGGATCCACTGGTGGGCTTAGCTTAGTCTCATCCTCACACAGCAGAGTGCCTATGGAGAAGTGAACCCAGCCTCCCTTGAACTGAGGCTGGTGACCCATGGACTCTTGCATCTAGAGCTTACTGCCCACCGTGTCCTTAGACAGAAGAATAAACTAGCAGGTGCTTGTGTGATCACTGAGAATGAAATTAAACCCTGCACCTGTATATTCAAAATAGGTCCAGATTCTGCATAAGGTAAAGGTAATAAAATTAACATTTTACTTAAAATTTGAGAAGAGCTGGGGAAAATGAACACAACGACTACAGGTTGCTTCAGATGTGCTTTTGTAGGCATACTTGGACTTACAACTTGAGCTCTCATCAGCTGTTAGTTACTGCCTGTATCAACTAGAAGGGTGGTTTAGGAGAAATCTGTGTTGGCAATGAATTGAACTGAAAGCATTCATGACGTCCATTATGGTGGCTTGGTGGAGGGAGTGGTAACTCATAGGAATGAAAGTGGGAGGCAGTTACATCTCAGATCATGTTGTGAGAGCATGTCTGAATATGTCCTTAATCAGCATAACTACAGGAGCACTTTGAAGACTCCTTTGCTCCAGGATTAAGGGTCTTCCCTTATGTCTTTAAAAGAAAAAAGAAATTCTAAGACAAACCTGAGGCCTTTCTGAGCATAACTACTTATTTTGTAGTTCACTCTCTTGTGAACTTTATTTGTGTGAAGGGAAGCATCGTGTCCTAAAACTGTGGAGAGATGCCAGGCATAAGGGTCTTTGCCAGTGCGAAGTTCAATGCATGCTTGCTGTGTGCTAGGAGTGCAACATCGTGGATGAACAAATGTAGCTAACAGGGCAGAGTGGAGATAAAACATCGCATCCCTATGCTCATTTTTGCTGTATGGCGGATTTCTGGGAGAAATCCAATGAAAATAGACATTGACAGCCCATGTTCACATCCTCTTAAATGAAACAAGTTCTGTAGCATGTTTAGGTGTGTCCCACAGGAAATGCTTTCATCTTTTTCTCTTGGTACGTGGTTGAAGCTGTCTTGTATCGATATGACACTTAACATTCATGTTGTAAAATGGGGAAGATGCATGTGGTAAGATTAAATATTTAGAGACAGATACATGTCCTTCTTGATAGCTGCATATAGTGAGTAGCTGTTCCAAATTTCTTATTACTCCATTTTAATAGATTTATCAAATACACACTTTGTGTTTCTATCCAGAAGCTGAGGAGAGTGGTGAATGTGCACATACGCTTCTCATTTGCCACCTTTATCTCAAAGCATTGGGATTTAGCTAACTGGTGTTTACAGAGCAACTACCAGACCCATTTTTGGGCTTTGACGGTAATTTGCAGCAGCCTTTGCATGTTAGAACCAGCGTGGTGTTTGTCTGGAGGGAGGGATGCAGAGGGAGGTGGGGAATAGAAGAGGGGTGTTTTGGGAGATGGTTATAACAGTAAATTTGTTTTGATCTGCATGACTTAGCAATTTTTCTTGAAGCTGAATTAAAAAGGGGCAGTAGTGTTGGTGAACTAGAGGTCAGTGTGCAAGCACAATACTGAATATTGCTTGAGAGGAAACTTGTGTGCTTTTCATTGACTGACGCATTAGAGGAAACTTGTGCACCCAGAAGCTGTTCTTACAAGCTTTCTTTTGATATTACAAGAACTTAACAGTTGCTTTGCTAGAGGCATGTTGTACCTTTTAAGATCATTCGAATACTCCAACTGAAGCACCATAGAAATCAAATTGCAGGATTAAATCATGCTGTTATATGTAGGGATAGACAGAGGGTCTCTAAGTGTAACTGCACTGTTTGTCTTGTTTGATGGTCTGGTAGATCTAATCATGCCAATTTGGTGTAATTTATTTTCTGATAATCTGAGTATGTAAGCTCAAGTGAACTCAGGTTTCTTTTCCTAACCAATGCCTTTTAAAGAAGGAAACAGTCTGCTAAACTTCCATGAAATGCTTAAAAAGTTTATTTATTATGTTTATAGAGGATGCTGGTTTGGTAAAGGGGGAATTGGCATAGAACAGTGAATCATTGAAGATCCAGTGAATTTGTTTTTCCTTCTAGAAATTTTCCTACATCGGCAAACATTGAAAGGAAGAAGGCGATGCAGATGCAGAAGGAAGAAAGGGGAGAAGTGCTGACTACCCAGCAGTTTGGGTAAGTGTTTTAAAACAAGCTAGTTATTTTCCTCCTGATGAGTGCAGAAGTACACTCTCTTGGTGTGGTCCCCCAGCACTTACTGCTTCCATTCTATACACTATAGCTGCCCTTTGATGGGGACAGGTCATTTGACAAACTGCAGATATAATGTTCTTTTGTTTACAGTGCTTCATAGTCCAATTAAATTAAACAATCATTGTATTAGAAATCTGATGTTCTTGCTGAATTCTGCACTCTGGCTTGTTTGAGAAAACCATGTTCTAGTGGCCATTCATTAGATCAGCATAACCTTGGTCTCTGAAGAAGGAATAATGGGGATGGAAGTCGTGCAGCATAATGAATACAAGATGGTCTAACCCTTTAGTGCCTGAAAACAGCCAAGGGAGATTTTATTAGTGGATTTGGCTTCTTACTCTCTCCTTTCAGGTGATAAATCAATAATCAGGTGGAGAGGGGAGGAAGATTTAACTTAATTTTTATAGCTTAAGTAGTACCACTTCTTTCTTATACCCTCCGTAATCTTTATCTACCTGTTATGTTTGTTATGAGCCTAATACTTACTTCTCTTGAACTTGTATCTGTTCTCTCCCTTTTATTGGGAAATTACTTTCCAGCATGGTCTTTGTTCTTTTTCCCATCAGTGTCAATGTGCTTTGGAACCAGCTAACTTCATTAGCTCTACTTTAGGGCCTGTGGGAAGGCTGTTTAAAAAAACTGTTATAATGATCAGTGCTCACAGAATGTCATCTATTTAAACTAGAACAACTCAGCTGGAAGGCAGGAGGAGATTCACTCCTAAGGGCTCTTGCTAAATGCCATTTACTGGTGCATGGACGTGAAGCTGGACCTTGCCTAGGGGCTTTCTTTGGTTGTTTTTTTGATAGGGATGACGCCAAAGCAATAAAAACTTGCACCGTGGTAAAGTGGTTGAAACAGTGCAGAATAGGTTTCATGTCAGGCTAGTATAATTTGTGAAATGGTGATAGTGCAAATTACATTGGTGCAGTGTGGGTTTCAGAAGATCCATTTATCCACCCCTTCTAGCCGGTTGTCTTTCATGATTTTGGAAGGAAAGATTTAGGAAAGTCTGAAGAAAGTAAAGCTTCCTTCGTAGGATATAAAATTGCAGAAGTCCTTTGGGCCCAAGGAACCAAACCTGGGCGTTGAGACTAAAGCTACAAACACATAATATGTTTGGAGATTCTTACAAGCAAAGATGAATTTTGCTTGTCACAGTAACGAACTGGTGTCTACAGGTTTATTTGGTAACTCTTGTGGCTGTGAGTCAGATGCATTATGTAGTCTTAAATGTCAATCAGCAATTCCATACTATTATGTTTGTTAGTGACTTTATATCTGGAAAGTTGTTTGGAAAGAGTCCTTAAAAATACAGGTTGCTTGCTTTCACTCAGTGACCTTTAACAGTGGTTGATTCTAGAAATATCTTTTTTTTTCTTTCCCCTGAGCTGCTAGTGGTATATACTTGATGACTTGTCCAAAGAGCTGTCATTTCTGCATTGTGTGTCAACAGTGAAGATCCTGGAATTGGTGCTTATCTGGCAAATTTACTGATGCATGAGGCAAAAATAGAATGCAGCTTATTCTCTGCAAGCTGTACTATTAAAGCAAATAGCTAAGTAAGATTTAGGAAGGATTAGATACTTAACACTTCCACAGTGTTTTCCATTTGTGGTTGTCTGAAGTGCTTTACACTGCTAATTCTCAGCATCCTCATGTGTGAGATTAGAGATGCAGAAGGACCACTTTGGTTGTCTGTCCGGTGTCTTGCAACAGCTGAGTAAGAACACATGGCTCTTTATCCCTTCTGAACGGGATGTGAAGACTAGTATAACTTTCATGAGGGGAAAGCCGAGGGCATGTGCCAGGCTGACGTTTGTTGGGAAGTGTTTATGACCTTTGGGTTCCTTTCTAGGTGTTTGAGGCCCCAGGGAAATCAAATTGTTGTTTTTAACCCTTGGTCAAGGACAGCACCTCTAGTTGAGTCTATATTTTCTCAACAACTTATAGGTTATACAACAGTATCCTGAATTTAGAGTCTGGTTGTACAAATTCAGAAATGCAGTTCTCTGTCTAAATGAATTTGGATTATGGGAGCCAATATTGATCTTTAGTGGATGAGAGACTGATGAACAGAAAGGTGGTGGCTTGCCTCTTGTGCCACAGGAGCGCTACAGTAGATGATGCTCTCAAGGCTGAGCAGTCAGTGTTAGACACTGTCATGAAATGACTGGAGAATGAAATGTGCTTTGTTGTGATATAAAGCCATTTTGAATGCTATGACAGGTCCAGTTGTTTTAAGAAGAACTTAATTAGGCTGGAAAGGTATGGAAGAGAGGAGTGTTGGTAATAAGAATGTTTCTGTACAAGAAGAGAAGTGGGTAGCTTGGAAGGGCTGTGTGATAGAGGTTTAGAAAAATCTTTATAGGTGGGAAGAGGTGAGCATAATGCAGATATGCATTGTTTTTTTGCAGCTCAAAAAGGATGGGAGGTACCAAATGACCATTTTAAACATCAGAATGAAGATAACACCTTGCTACATGATTTCAGGGATGCCAGACGTTCACACAGCATCCCACAGAGTGAGATGCAAAACCATCAGTTGTCTTGGGAGCACCTCTAGTGAGAGAAAGTCACTAAGTGGTACACCACAGAAAAGTGGGTGTGGAGAAAAGTGACCATTCACCCTGCCACCCTGTTTTTATGCTTTTTTTGTAATTTCCTCAGTTGTTCCACTGGCTGCTTCTCAGTGAGAATGCACCAGGTTAGAAATACACCTGTGAGACTCTGCGTGCAGGTACATGACTCCAGACCTAGACAGAAATTTCAGTAAGAAGCTGTTATACCAAGTGTGGTACAGTTGACTAGGAATAACTGCACCTCTGCCATGCTGTAGGTGAGGCTGAGGGAGAAATACGGGGCAGAATGCACCATGGGGCTCATCCAGGATGGTAGATCTTGTGTGTCTTTTGTGGTTGGAATGTGCAGCTGGTGAGTTGCAATCTGGCTTTGCTGAATTAAGTTTCTGTTGCTTGAAAATAAGTATTTTCAGGGAGCTTAGGTTATCCCTTCCATATTGGCTTTTCTGTCTAGGTAATGTGACATGAAAACTCAGTGTCCTGACACCTTAGAAGATCAAGGAACTTGCATAGCCTATGAACCCTTTGCCTTGTTAAAAAATAAGTCATGAACTTCAAACTCTTCATTTAGGTTCCAGCTTTGTCACATTGTCCTGCCAATGAGATGAGCTGTGACTGCCTGTCTGGTCTGTCACCACATGTTAACTGAGCTGGAGTAAGTCCTGGCATCATGCTGTGCTGCTGAGTCTTAAATCTAAGCCGTTTGATGATGTCAGTTAAGTTTATTCTCATAGCTTGTCATTTGTATGAACTTTCTGTTTCTGTTCTCCAGCAAAATGAAGGGGATGTGGAAGCCTTCAGGAAATGAAGAGAGGGTTGGGCAGCAAGGAAGACAGAAGAGAAGACAAAGGCGCCCGTTTTGGAAGAAATTTAAGAAAAATGGTGATGATTCCAATGTACATAAAACTCAAAATGAAGCAAATGGGGCAGAAAATGGCATGTGTGAAAAGGAGCATGAAAACCAGCATGCTTTGGCATCTCAGCCATATGTGAAGGACGTAGACCCTCTTGGTCTTCTGGCAAACAGTGATGTTGGTAAGATGAAGGAACTTGGAGTACTTTTATTTTAAGTAGTACTGCTGAAGTGATTTCTGATCTCTTGTGTAACTAGCAACTTCTGGGTTAGTCAAACATCCTTGCACCTAAAACTTGCCCTTAGAACTTTTAAATGGAAATGTCTGTAAAGTTTGATCCCGATTCAGGATGTGGTCTTCTAAGAAAATTCCCAGGGTAGTTATTATGCAAGAGTGGGTCAGTGCTTTGTCTAAAGAATTTTGTACAATTCTGTATCATCTAAGAACGCTTAACCTAAAGGGGAAGAGATGTTGGTAGACAGGATGTGGGGGTGTGTCCTGGATTTGAAAATTAACCACACTGGATACTTATTTATCTTAGCTTTGTGTGTTTTAAAATACATTACTGGCTTTAAATCAATATTTGGCTAGCAAACTGAAGAGGTTTTCTGGACTGTTAACGGAGCACCTCAATTCTGTCTTTGTTTTAACAAGTACTTTATCATAATAATCTTATTGTACCTATAATCCTCTGATTAGAAATGCTTTGTTGTCCAAAACGTTTAGATGGGAGAGGCAGCCAATGGGAAGTGGTTTGGGCCATAGGGAAGTGATGCTGTAGTAACTTCAGGAAGAAGAAAAGAAACAGCATCTGAGTTCTTCTATGTTTAGATGCTGAAGCTTCTCCGTGCTAGTCAGGGGTTTGAAAGTGTGTCCATAAAGTTTGCGTACAGTATTACGTGTTCTGACGTAGATACTGTGCAACAGTCTAAAGGACAGGCACCAGCTTAGGTTGCTAAACCAATGTGAAATAAAATCTTTATAAAGCCAGAGGAAGAATAAAGTACTTCAACAATCAAATTATTTTTAAAGACTATTAAATATCCTGTTGTGGTTTTACGAATGTGAAAGCAAATGGATTTCCTTGTATCAGTCAAGTGAATTACTTAAAATGTCAGCATTTTTCTTTTAATGCTGTTTTTTTGCTGTATTGTTACTCTTGATACTCTCCATATGTGTGTGTTCTTTGAAATATTGCTGCTTAGGTTTTTTTGGTGAGCATGTCTTGTTTCCACATGCTGGCAGCAATATAAACTCCAGATATAACTATTTATAATATAGTCAGCAGTGATGCAGTACTCTTAGAATATGGCATGTAAGCTGACTTACACTAGCTATTTTTAGCAACAAGGCTAGAATGCATCCCCTGGAAAGATGTCTGATGCTGAGTTTTTCTTCTTGAAAACATAATCTTCAATTACTGGGAACAAGAACTCAGCATCCCTGTGCAATTTGTTTATTTCACTGATCTCTGCATGTTGGGAAAATTAAGTATGCTTAAATATAATTGTATTTCCCCACAGCATCTGTGTTTTACTTAATGTTAAAAATTCTAATTATACCAAAGTACAGCTAGTAACTGCTGTTGTAATAGATAGAAAAGGAATGGGGTACTTGCTTATGCATTATTAAAGCGAGGTGCTGTCTTTTATTCTACCCAGATAATAACAAACATGGTGTTAAGTAGAATTTAAGAAAAAACATACAACTGAAATCTATGATTTTCCAGTATAGGTGTTCAGACCTCCTTCCTAACAGCAGTAGCCCTTCTTCTAGAGGGAATGTTTGTTTTTTGTATAATGCATTCACTTAAGTTCTGCTTAGTGGTCAGTTCCTTCAAAGATAAGAAATTGAATGGGAGGTGACAAAACAAATTTTTTTTTCCTCTTGATTTATAAACAGGAACAAGTTAAGATGATGGACCTGTCAGGCATAAAACTGAGGTGTGTACCGACCAGAAACAGTCAGTTGTATTCAGTAATACATAACAGTTCCTCCAAATGCGTTACTCTCAAAGAGAAAATATATTGCAGTAAATGTGTTTTCCTAATTTGCTAAAAACCAAATTAAAAGTAACTCATTAAACTTTGATAAGAAGGCACCCAACCACACTATGCACTTAACATTTTAGATGAGCTAGGAAAAAAGATAGAAAAAAAATTGGAATAACTTGCAGTAAATGCTGGTTTTATAATCACTTAAATATATGCAGGTGCTATCTATTCTTCCTTAGAAAAAGCCCCTGTGTTCAGCATGAGCTTCCAGTGTAAATTGGCATGATTATTCAATTGGTGAGAATCAACCTTCCTCAAAAAGAGCTCAAAGTTGAAAGAGGGAGGTTAAGTAGTTGAGATAAATACCCACCTATCTGAAAGTTGTTATACCCAAAAGCATGAGCTCCAGTGAAACAAATTGTAAACTCTTAACGGTACGTTAGAAGAGCAAAGAGAAATATTTGTGATTTCAAAATTAAGATCTCAAAAGTCTGTAGTTCAGTAAAACCTTTCTAAAGAGTGTGAGGCAGCTTTCCTGTGGGGCAGGCTCAGATACAGAGAGGATGGGAGAAGGCACAGCTCTTTGTGAAACTAAGATTGCAATCAGTCTTCCCCTAGAAGTTTCAACAAGCTGGTTTGTCAAACTATTTCTAGTAGTTTTGTATGTGTGTGAAATTTATATGCAAGTATATTAGTGGAAAGCATTTCCTAGTTTTCCTGCTAGTTCTAGCACTGTTCATCCTAGATTCTTTCGAAGATTTTAGCGCATATAGATCTTTTGCTTCAAATTAAAGCTGTCACAATTTTGCATGTTTATTTTTAGGAATCTTTTTCTGTTAGGGCTTTGTTTTCCTAGTATCCTCAATTTTAGCATTTTTGATTACTTGCCTCCTATCTTCCTGACATTCTTTTTGTTGGTAGTTTGAGACTCTTAATACCTCTCTTCTGCATGTCTGTAATGCTCTGCAGGGATTGGCATATCAAATGTTCTGAAGTACAGCTGAAATTTGATCATTTGATTTGTAACCTTGGTTCTTAATGTTCCCTATGAACTCTTTTACTATCAAAAAATTGTTTTGCTATTCAATTCTCACTTTGAATGAGCCTAATTCTCCTCCGACTGGCTTGTGAATCATTCTCCCCCACCCCTCGCCTCCGCAGGACTAAATCCAATAAGACTTCAAAACATATTATGATATCTTCTCTCTCTCTTTACCTACACTTGATACTAAAAACCTATAATTATGTTTGGTATGTGAAGAAAGAACTAGAAAGCTCAAGCTCTTGTTCAGGAAACTTTGCTACTGTAGTTTTGCTGGCAGGACTGTAAGCCAGCAGGGAGATGACTTTGCCACCGGGTATCTGTAGAGGGTAGGCAAATGTGTGGCTTTCCTGTCAGTCCATGGTGTTTGACAGTGGTGGCCAGTGTTAGGCTTCTGTAGTAATGAGGTAGGCATTCACCTGCAAGGGTGGCTGTTGGTATGCAGGAGTACTGAAAAAACCCTTCTTGCCTTTTCTTTCCTTGCAGAATCCGACAAGGATGAAGCAGCAGCTGAAGACGGGAGGCTGGGTTTGACTGTTGTTCCCAAGCAGGTCACTTCTGCTCTGAGTTCCTTGTCAGCCAACTATGGCAGCGCATCTGACAACGAGTCTGAAGGTATGTAGAAGCACATCCCTTTTTCCCTTTCTACCCTATGTCACTGTGCTGATGCAGGCTGCAAGCAATGATAAAACCTGATCACAAATTACTCTTCTTTGGCGGGACTTCACCTCTCCTGTATTTATTTGGTCCTTTGTCAACTCTCATCTCATTGTCCAGCCCGTGTGTATTCACAAATACATCAGTTACGAGTGCAGTAGCCCAGTGATAGCTCTTTATGATTATGTCTTCAACTGCTGAAAGCAGAACCTATATAGTACTTACAATTTCTTGAGAAAAAACTTGTAAGAGAAATGAAGGGTGTTGCAGAAGAAAATACAGTGTGTAAGCTGTGGCTTCCATTTAGCAAAGATGTTAAAGTAATGGCAGTTCAGCTGCTATACCTCCAAAATATTTGGCTATGGAAATGCCTTTCGATTTCTGGCCTGTCTACCAGCTCTGAATAAGCTGTTTTGTATCTGTTCATTTTTAGGCTTGTACAAATAAAAAGTGAAACTTGTTAAAGGTTATGCTTGGGGATGTTATTGCAGCCTGTGTATAGACCCTTTCCAGGTTACTTTCAGTGACAGCCCATACTGGTATAAGCCATGCGTAAAGATAGGTTGGGAGGAGTAAAAGGTTATGCCATCATTCTGCTCCTCTTGTTTCCCCCTTGATCCCTCCTCCCGGTTTTGAGGACTAACTAGGGTTACTGAGTGAGCTATTACTTGTTCCCAGTGTGGTGGTAACTCCCAGTCTCAGAGAAGCACCTGGACATAGCACAGCGTTTGTGCAGACGTGGCATGGGATGGCCTTTTCCACTTGGCCTGTATCACATCTCATGCCCCTGCTCCCCAGCCCTACAGCATACTGCAGAAAGCGTTGGAGTTTACTGAAAGACTGGGTGGGTTTTTTCACTCCTCTTTGCTTGCCTTTTCTCAGCAGCATGTGCTGGGTTAAAGGGGGAGTATAAAATGCCTTTGGCTAGTAATTGATGAGTAATTGAATTTCCCGAGCCTTTTTTCCTCTTAGTTGGGAAAAGGAAAAAGAAACCTGTCCTCAGTCTCACTTCAAATCCTGTTTGAACAGTGCCAGGAAAAAGCTATTATGCTCACCCTGTGAACAAATTTCCATGTCCTTAAGGGCTTTTTCCATAGAAGGCTGCTGGGTGTTGCAGTAAAACGTGAACTCTCTAGTACTCAAATTTTGTGCTTCTCCTGAATGTATGCATCAGTGTATGGTATGGAACTGCTGCTGCTCCTTGATTTTGCAGGTAGTTACTGTGCTTTATGTGCCCTGGATGGCTAACCCGAAGTTACAGAGAGTATCTAGCAGGCAGAGAATTTATCTTGGGCACACTCTGCCCTAACTGTATCATTTTTTTCTCAGCAGCCAAATTTATGGCCAGCTATTTTGTGAAGCAGCAGCAATGTACTTTCTAAGTGATAAGAAGGCAGAGGTTGGAAAATCTCGTTCAGCTCGTACTACTTCTGTTTTTCTTTTTGTATTGCAGAATATAAATATCTTGTTTTCTTTCCTGTGAGTGTTTGGAGATTATTCTTTGTATTTTAAAAGGAACTCCAAACCAAACAAAACCCTCCCTTCCCTCAAGTAAACCTTGAACATCTTCACATCAGGTTATGTGAGCAAGAATAGTGCTAACTAACTGTCAGTGCATGGGGATATAATGATGTTAAAAAGGCTTTTAAGTTTGAGATGAAAGTGTGTTCTTTTTCTTTAAGAAATCCCTGTCAAGACTGCAACAAAATCTGAGGAAAAGCAGCCTGCACTCAAAAATACTCCTCAAACTGCTTCTGTTCCTCGGAGCCGAAACCCGAAGCAAAAATGTCCAGAACATGCAGGCGTGATGTTGAGAAGCTCAAATTCAAATGCACGTCCCCCCAGAGGGCCTGATAACTGGGGCAAGAAAACATTACCTCTCCTTCCGAAGCGCCGTCCAACTCTGCTGGAAATGGTAACAGTCTTAGTGCTAAAATAATGCCTCCTTGTACCAGAACAGCGCTATACGTGAGCAGTTCTCCCCTCTTGGAAGTTAGAGCAGTTTGTTAGCAAAGGTCCTGTCTTAAGAACAGCAGAGTGAGCATTTCACTTGGAGAAGGTGTAGACGCAGGTAGAGGTACCCTGGTGAGCAGGAGATGACCGCTTAAACATGTGCCTAAAATGAGCTACACAAAGGACAAAACCTTTACTCCTCCTTCTCCCCTATCCAATAGGTTTTGTTTGCGAGTGATCCCATCAGCTTTATTCTGACCTTTCTCTGTTTGCTCCTGACTTTGCTATTCAGCTGCCTTCCTCTGACCAAGGAGCACATAACTTTTTCAGATGCAGTCAATAAGATCATGCGGATAAGGGTGTTGGTGTCTTAAACTGTAGAGTGGTGTTGAGCTGCAACCTGCATGTGCATGAGGTAGGCATGTTCACATCAATCTGAAGAAGTGACAGCACTGCTACCTTGAAGAGCTTGTTGGTGTCCCAGAAAGTTAAGAAGAGGTTTGTAGTCTGAGGTGTTATGATTCTGTTTTCGGTAATAGTTCAGAGCATCCTATTTAAAAGCTTGGTGGCTTTCTTTGAAGCTTTTATTGCTTTTAGGACTTGGAAGCAGTATCAGATAGTAGGCTACCCTTGTGATTTTGTGAACAGCCTGCATAAAGCTCCCCCATCACGGGAAAGCTTGCTCTGGGCAGAACACAGTGGAAAGCAGGGTGCCACTAACATCAGGGCTCTGAAACAGCACAGGATGTTTAGGCAAGAGATACCTGATAAGGCAAATCCCAGGCTGCACATGCGGGAGAAGTCCCTTGATCGTCCTTTTGGCAGATAGTACTGTTTGCTGCCAAGAATTATAGCTCCTATTGACTGAAAAGGAAATGTTTGCCCTTTGTGTAGCTCCCTAAGCATGCAGTTGGTTTTATCTCTTGCTCTTCAGAGTTGTTGGTGATCAAAGCAAAACAGGACTCTGAAATAAAGTCAGATGAAGTCCCACAAGCTGAGAGAAGCTGGCAGAACATTGGAAGCCTGAACTGTAGCTTGCCAGTATAGTTCATTTTCAAAACTGTATTTTGGTGTGTGGTGTTTTTTTTATCCTTTAATGTTGCTCAAAACTGTAGTCAAAGGATGTGTACTGTGGCTATGAATCAGAGAGGAGTGCCTGAGACTCACAGGTAGGCTGCCACTGTCAGAAATGGTCATTGTGTAAAAACTTTGAGGAAGCAAGGTTGAAATTTTACAGTGAGTCGTTGCTGAGAATTCATCCAAAAAGTGAGGAATTAGAATTGCTACGAAAAGGATGTTGTGTCAGTGAAATGATACTTTTATTCGCCTACCTCCTCTTTTCGGTATAAAAGAGCGGGTAGGAGAACAGCTGCAGATGTCTATTGCAGTCATTCAGCAGTGGGCTTGGGCACTACTAAAGCGTGCTTATTGTAGCCCTGCAAACAGTAATGTGTGTTTAGCCATTCTGTATGCTGATAAAAAGCTTGGATAGCATCACTCCACTAATACCTGTCCCTGAATTAAAAAATATAATGCAAAGATGGACTCTTTGGCAGGGTGATGGTGCATCCCATCCATACTGTTATTGGGCCGTTTGGGAATTCAGCAGTTCCTCCTAGTCCAGCAAAGAGAACATGGCTGTGCTGTCCCATCTCTGCCCTAATGTGCATCTCTTTGTTCAGATGGCGGGTTTCTGAAGACCCATTTTAGGTGTCAGCTGCTTGTAACACCTTGTAGTAGCTAGCCTAAATAGAAATATGCACATGTTAAAGTGGCTGGTTAATTCACTGTTGAAACTTGCAACAACAGAAAAGCTTCTCTGTGAAATTACAAGCCAAATTTTGTTAGATCTGCAGTGTGTGAAATGATCAGGTAGTTGCAGATTTAGCCACTTGCTTTAAACTTGTTTCATCAGAGTACTAGTTCTGCTGACACTCACAATGACAAAAGGTCCTTCAGCCTTCTGGCTGATTCATTTTTTTTAACACCAGGTGAAGTTCCGTGAAGTTAAAGGAGATGAAGGAGGTCTTTAGCACTTCAAGATTACAGCCTAAACCAGTTATTACTGTTTAAATCCAGTCTAGTACTCAATGAAACATGCCCTTTCCTCGGATTCATAACTGTCTTTTACTCGGAGGGGTTTTCTAATAAAAAATGCATGGGATGTTAAATTACAGGTACACTATAACCTGGGAAGTGTAAAAGATGCTAATAGACTTGCTGTCCTGATGTACTGGAATGTGTGGCCTAGTATTACAGTCCATGGTATGAGAACATTGTCATCTGGATCTGCACTTGGATAACTGGGGGAGAAATTCTTAATATAGGAATAGGTATATTCAGTGAGATTCTCTACCACTTGAGCAAAATGAAACCATCAGCTTAATCCAGAGATAGCATGAGAGTTACCAGATTGTGCTACCTGCCTTAGTGCATTAATGGTGCTAAATGAGCAGTGCTTAAATATGTGCACTGTGGGCATATAAGTGTTGTTTGTCCTTTCCAGTGGTACAGCCATGTGCCAGTACCATAGTGAATCATGGCTATTACGAGCCTCTATCACTAGAAATGGTGTTTGACCACTAACCTGTGCTGCTGCCCAGAAGAGCAACTCCCTCCCTGCTGCCCTTTCTCTGAATGCCTGCTCCCACCTCTTTTTCTCTGCTGTGCTGGGCCTTTTGCTGACCCTTTTCAGTTTTTTACACACATGACCTAAAAAAAAATCCTAAAGAAAGAATAAAAGAACCCCAGAACACCCACTACTTGCTGCTAATTGTCAGGCTCATTTTATTCCTGGCTGTTGAGTTGAACTGATGCAGTGAGGGGTCTGATCTCCCCTTAACAAAGGGGACAGCAGGCCCTTAGACTGCCCAGCCCAGCAAGCTGTGTGGTAGTGCTGTCAAACACACTCACTCGCTCTGCCAAAGCCTCAGTCAGTGGGAAGACACCAAATGTGGGATTATGTGGCTTTTCTATGCTGTCTGGTAAGGTAGTCTCCTGCCCTGTGTATCCAGGACAGGACTCCTGTGAGGAAGCCAACTATTTTAATTCAGGGATGCTCAAAATTACTGACTAGAGCTGTACATCTTCCTAGGCTTGTATCAGAGCAACAGAGGGAAATGTGCATCATCATCTCTTCTTTCTTTCCAGTTACTGGCCCAGGACATCCGGCACGAAAGGAATGTGATTTTGCAGTGTATTCGATACCTCATCCGGAATAACGTATTTGGACTTCATTTTAAAACAGAACCACAAGCTGAAACAGAGACTGAACAGCCCTCTGCAACAGCTACGGCAGAGTCTTTGGCAGACAAGCTCAATGAATCTAGTTGTTCTTGTACCTCTGACCTTCAGTTAGCAGGAGGAAGAGAAGATGCATTATTAATAGCCCAGGGTGAGAAAGAACCTGAGGATCAGACTTCGCAGATGGCTCACTTGGCAGATGAGGACACATGGGAAACCCCATCAGTTCAGTGTGAACAAATACTGTAGATGATGTCTGTTGTGGATGGTAAAGCAGAGGCTCATGTTTTCTACCTGACTGATGCTTTTTGAAAAACATCAGTATAACAAAATGATCATTAAATTACATACTGAGAACTGTTGAAACCACTTTTCTGATCTGTTCTGCCTGAGGTAGCCATTTCCTTGTGAAAACATCATCTGCTTTGAGTAATTGCATTTCTTTGTGGCAGAAAGGCAGCAGTGGCACAGAGTAGGACCTTTCCTAGAGCAGGTGCAGATCCTCACTTGAGCTTCAGAGCTCTGAATGTTTTACCTGTTTAGGAAATGTGTGGGAGTCCATCACCAGAGCCAAGTAATACTGTGGTAGGGTGGATCTTCCTTATGTGAAATTGTGGTCTGGTATGGTGTGTCTGGGAGAAACTTGAGTGTCCAGAATTATTTCAGTGTCCTTCTGAAATTTTAATTCATTGCACATTTTGTTTTTCTAGGCTGTTATTGATACACTACATCCAATATAAATGCAGTATATCCAGTATACAGTGAAGAAATTAGGAACATATAGCTGACCTGGCTCTAAAAGCAGTGCTTGCAGTAGGAGTCTCTTCCTATCTGAGCCAACTTACCCAAGCAGAGAAATGGAAATGAGGGTGCAGACTGATGCAAGAAGCATTTTTTAATAAATAAATAAATAAAGATGTGGCTGTTAACTGCTTGCATCAGTGCTAGGCTGCTGGTTGACTTCAGGTACCCAATATTAAGCCGTAATTGCTGTTGCAGTCATTGCCTGACAAATCTAACTCTTGAAGCAAAAATTAAAGCTCAGAAAGTTTACCAAGAGTTACTGGTTTGACCTTTTTTAATGTGCATTGAGAGATTATTAGTTGGCCTCCTGGAAGAATGTCTTGGTGCGTTACTATGGTGTTCCTACAACATTCGGTGATCTGTTCTGTTTTTCATAGATCTCTGTGTACATCCATAGTGTTGTGAACACTAAAAGCATCAGCCGAGGTTTAGAAACAAGTTTAGCCTTTTGATTACATTGTGCATTTGTTTGTCAGAATGCTTCTTCTCAAGGGCAGGTGTTAGTTTGTCACATTGACACTGAAAACATCCCACGAGAATAATCTGTTACCAAAACCTCCACTTCCGAGTCTGTTCTTTGTCTTTTAGTCATGGTTAAATCTGGGATATGGTTAAATCTCAGGGACTGCTTTTATTTTATCTTATTTTTGTTCTTTGATGGAAGTCCAGCTTTCCATTTCACCATCTAAAATGGGGAGACTCACATGGTTTGTCTTTGTTTTTGCCTAATAACTGTAATTTCTTTCCTCTACTTCCTTAACTTGTGCCATGCATCTCATTTGTGGCACACAGAAAACAAGAAATAGTTGAAAATTCGGTCCCACTGCTTTGCTATTTATAGCTATGACTGCATATTGTGTTTGTAATTCACTATCTAAATTTATGGTATTATATAAATATCAACACCCTTGTAGAAGTTGTGTCTCAAGAATATATGTGCAGAATAGAAGCAGTAATCATAAACATTTATATTTTCAAGGCAGATGATTCATTCTTCCCATAATGATCCCACAAGCATCTCAATCTCACTGGCTTGCCTATGGCTCTTACGATTTTACCCTGATGAAAATACCAGCGAAAGACTCTAAGCCACAGAGGTCTGGCACTTGGGCAGAACCTGATTTCAGAGTGGAGTGGTACTGGTGCTGTTGAAAGCATGGGTAACAGCTGCAGGAAAAGAAATTGATGTCTTAGGACTGCTACTAAATTGCACTTTAAACACCCCTTAACATGCTTTTGTCCTTATCAAGGTGATGGCAGAGCTCTCTTTGACTGTACACTCTGACCTTTTGTTTAAAAAAAAATAAAAATAAAATAGCCCAAACACCCTTTAATCTGAATTCTTTATTCTGTTGTCATTATGGAGGTAAGAATGTTAAACTTTCACCAAAAAAAAAAAAAACAACAACAAAACCAAAAGCTTTGTCCAGAGAAAACCTGTTCTGTTTCATGTAGCTAGGAAGAAGTAGGTTTCCTTTGAGGGAGAGCTGCACATGGTATAAATTGGGAGTTTTAACCTAGGACTTGTATACCTGCAGAATTGCTGTTGCTGCTCTTGTAGTGAGTTCTGCCAACTCATCGCAGACCTGTGGAGATGTGCCGCAGTGATGTTAAACCCTGAATTGCTGTCTGGTCAACAAGTGGAAGGTCTTTCCCTTTTCATGTTCTTCCAGACCATGGTCAGACCTTCCCTTACCCCCTCCTGCTCTTCAAGAATGTGCTTTCTTAGTACTTTGGATTCAGCCTTCGGAAAGGAAAGATGTCAGAGTTGACTCTGGTATGGTCAAATCCGTATAGGCTTCTCTGGTCCCTGTGGCTTTCCTGTTCTGGCTTGAGAGAGGTAGGTTTTGTTGACTCCTTTCTAATAAGATGCCTGTCTGTGTAGGGGAAGCCTGTTGCTTCTGACATGCTGCAGGAGCCAGTGTCTCGATTAAGCCTTGTGTACCTTTTAACTTTCTCATTGTTTTGGTGTGGGGTGGTAGTTTTGTGTTGATTTTTTTTTTTAAGGTTTTTTTTTTTCCCCAATGTTATTAGAGAAAAAAATCCTACTTTAGGCTTTGTGACTCACTTCAGATAAAAATATTCCAGTAGCAACCTTCACACTCCTTAAATCTTATTTTTATCTTTCTTCTTTTCTAACTTAACTACTGAAAATGTAATTGTGGGTGTCTAGATTCAGTTTGGTACCCTTGGGCTTTGGTGGTGGTTTTGTTTTAAATCCATCTCACCTACTGAGCTAGAACAGTCGGGGGAAATCAGACTTTACTCAGTTGTGGTGGTGCAGCTCAGGCAATTTAGACTTTGCTGTGAGCAAAATCACAACTACTCCTCACATGAGGGTGAGGGAGACAGGTGTGCATTTCTGATCTGTATGGTATCTTGGTCAGTGAGGACTTTTGCAGCTGATTTTACATGTTGATGTTTTGATCCTTGCTTTGAGAGCACAGGAGATGGTGGTTTGATAGAGATGCTGTTCCTGCTATCAGTGCTTTGATCCTCTGTGTCAGCTTCTTATGGCTGGGTGTCCCTCTCCTTCCCCTTGCTCCTGTGACCACTAGCCCAGGTCATGTGGTGCAGTCACTCTTCAGGAATAACATTCTGCAGTCCTAGCAGGTCTTAGATATTTAACTAGTATTGAGCAACAATTTGGGCCAGTTCTGTCAAAAGCAAAAGTCTGGGCTGCAATACAGCGTTCCCCCCTGCTCTCTATAAGTGGCACTCCAGCATACTGTGGACCTATGTCATCAAGGAGGGGTACTCTTGAATATCTTTAAAAGCAGCAGGCAACTGGAGAAAGTTCCTGAGGACTGGAAGGAAAGGAAGTGTCAGTTCAGGAGCATCTGGGGACCTGCAGGCTCATCAGCTTCACCTTGGCCCCAGGGAAGGTGGTGGAGCAGGTAAGTGTGGAAACTATCTCCAGACATAGTAAGGACAAGAGGGTGATGGGGTTTAGTCTACATGAATTTAGGAAGGATAAATGCTTGATCAGTTGGACAGGTCTTCTGTAGTGAGATTACTTGTTTGGTGTCTAACAGGAGGGCAGGGGATGTTGCTCATTGTAGCTTTAGCAAGGTTTTTGACCCCGTCTCCCATGAAACCTCCATGGTGAAGTATGGGCTAGGTAGGTGGATGATGAGGTAGGCTGATCACTAACTGAAGTGCCAGACTCCAAGGGTTGTGATCAGTCACCGACAGGTTGAGGGAGGTGGTCCTTTCCTCTATCAGCATTAGTGAGGTTCAGCTGTAGTGCTGGGTCCAGTGCTGGGCTGCCCAGTGCAGGAGAGACATAGACATACTGGTGGGAATCCAGTGCAAGGCCACAAAGATGCTGAAGGGGCTGGAGCACCTTTGAAATGAGGGGAAGAGAAGGCTTAGGGGGATCTTACCCGTGTGGATAGATACATGATGGGGGAAGTAAAGAAGGTGGAGCCAGGCTTTTCTCAGTGATGCCCAGGGACAGGACTTGAGGCAAGGAACACAAATCAAAATACAGGAAATTTATTTGAAATATAGGAAGAAACACTTTAACTGTGAGCTGTCAAACACTGGCACAGGTTGCCCCGAGAGGCTGTGTCATCTCCATCCTTGGGGATATTCAAAACCCAGCAGGACGCAGCCCTGAGTAGCCTGCTCACGAGCATGAGTTGGGCTGGGTGATTTCCAGAGGTGCCCACCAGCCTCAGCAGCACTGGGACGCCATGAGCTGAACAGGATCTATGCTGCTTGAAATCATGTCTTGGTGTAAGACACCTGCTTTGGAAGCTCTGCTCCTACTGAAATAGCAGAGCAGGCCAGCCTCACAGGCTGCCCTGCCCACACAAGGCTGACAGGCTGCTTCCAGAGCTGAAGAGAAGGTCCAAGACTCAGCATCCATGACAACAGATACCACTCCATGGCCTACATTTGTCCATAGCGTTTGCCTTTGCGCAACCTTGGACTTAGCTCCATGTATCAGTTTGCAGAGAGGGATGCTAAATCCAGTGCTTTAACTGTCACTGAGATACAGTTTGAGATGGATGAATGAAAAATGCTGTGCAAGTGTTGGGTTTTGCTGTTACTTGGCGAGGTGAAAAAGAGTTGTGGTGTTCTGGGTACTCACTGATGCAGTCTGTGAGTGCTCGATACCTGAAAGAAACTCTCACTCTCCCCCTACTTTTCATCACTCTCTGGCTTATGTTTTGTGACTCCCTTCCGAAAATGTCCTCTAATTTCCAAATATACCCTTCAGGCGGCGGCTTTTATTTGGTAAGACAACTTTCTTGGCATGGTATAGTTCATATACAATCTCCATTGTATATGCAAAGGAAGCTGTATAGACTGTGTATGTGTATGTGCTCATATATAAAAGCAATACCAGCTCAGTGAAACAAAGCTTGCACACACACTTCACACAGTCTGTAACTGGTCACAGGAGCAGTTGTTTTGGGCGAGGGAAAATCCAGCACGGATTTCAGCTGAACATTTTTTCTTTCAGGTTAACTAATATCATCATCAAGATGATATGGACAAGCAATTAGAATAAATGCAGTATGTAATTGGAGGAACACAGGCTGCTTTGCTGAGGG